GTGGAGACCAAGGTTTTATCATGCAGATGAAGCCTCCAGGTAGCAAGCTTCAGAGAGGATAGACCATAGATGTTTCGTATCAGACTTAGTTTGTTCTACCACTAATTGCAAAAGGGAGGGTGTAATGAGGCATTTCTGGCTTTGCTTTTCCATAATGGCCTGAACTAGTTTTTCAGGTTAACTTTGGAATACCTATGGATGAGAGGAGGGGTTCATTCAGATAGCTGGGGGCTTAGAATTTTATTTCTTGTTTACAGATTGAGCTATGAATGTAAAGGCCTCAAGGAAAGAGTAAGCTTGGTTTATATGAGGAAGATCATAGTAAGGCAGTGACGTTTACTTCATATAGGATGAAAACCCATGGAAAGTTTTGAGCAGAGGAGACATTATCTGACTCACATATCTAAGATTATAGTGGAGCCAGGACAACCACAGGTAGACAAATTAAGAAGTATATGACAATTGAGAAAGCGATGATGTTCCCTGAGCCAGAGTTGATAGTAGTAGTGGAGGTCATAAGATGTAATTAGATTCTGGATGTGTTTTATAGATAATGCAGAAATTTGCTGATGGGTTGCATATTTGGTCAGAATGAGAGAGAGAGAAAGAGAAAAAAAGAGATGAGTCATGGAAGACTCCAAATTTCTCACCTTAACTAGAAGGATGGGTTTCATTAACTGCGACAAGATAGGCTGTGGGAAAATAAAGTTTAGGCTGAGAAACATCAGAATTTTGTTGAGATCGTAACCGCCCAAGTGGTTCGTCTTGCCCACTGCCTAGACAGAACTGATTCATCAAGACAGGGGAATTGCAATAGAAAGAGTAATTCATGCAGAGCCGGCTGTGCAGGAGACTGGAGTTACATTATTACTCAAATCAGTCTTCCTGAACATTCAGGGAGCAGAGTTTTTAAGGATAACTTGGTGGATCAGAGGATGCCAATTAGCCAGGACTGCTAATTGGTCAGAGATGAAATCACGGGAAGTTGAAGCTATCTTCTTGCATTGAGTCAGTTCCTGGGTGGGGGCCACAAGGTTAGATGAGCCAGCTTATTGATCTGGGTGGTACTAGTTGAACCATCAAGCAGTATCTGCAAAATATGCTAAGTACTGTTCTTAGGAGCAGTTTGGGGAGGGTCAGAATCTTGTAGCCTCCAGCTGCATGAGCCCTAAACCATAATTTCTAATCCTGTAGCTAATGTTAGTCCTACAAAGGCAATCTAGTCCCCAGGTGAGAAGGGGATCTGCTTTGGCAAAAGGCTGTTACCATCTTTGTTTAAACTATAAACGAATTTCCTCCCAAAGTTAGTCCAGCCTACACCCAGGAATGAGCAAGGACAGCTTGAAAGTTAGAAGCAAGATGGAGTTGATTAAGTTAGATCTCTTTCACTGTCTCAGTCATACTTTTGCAAAGGTGGTTTTGAGATTTAGACCTATTTCTGTGACCCAAGGGAAGAGGCTTAAGTTAGTAGCAAGATACCGCTGGAGTGTAGAGTTGGAGTATTTGAAAATTTTCAACCTTAGGTACAATTTTATGAGTCATCAACATTTAGGAAATGGTTTAACAGCATGTGACTGGGTGATATTAATAAGGTGTGGGTGTGTAGAGAGGAAGAGATGGAAGGACTGAGCTTTAAGGCAGTTGAGCAGATGAGGGAAAACCACAAGAGAGATTGAGAAAAAAAATAGCTGGTAATATAATCAGATAACCAGAAGAGAGTTTTATGCAAAAACCTGGTGAAGAAAATATTTCAGGTAAAAGGGAGTAATTAGCTCTGTCCAATATTACTGATATGTCAAGTGTGTTGATGAGAAAAAATTGAATATGAGATTTAGCAGTATAGGGGTCCATCTTGATATATGCGGTTTCAGGGGAGTGGTAAAGGTGACCCACCAACCAACAAACAAGGAATAAAATACTGATTCATGCTACAACATGGATGAACCTCAAACACATTATGCTGAGTGAAAGAAGCCAAGCACAAAAGGCTACAACCTGCATGGTTCCATTTATGTGAAATAGCCAGAGTTGGCAAATCCTTGGAGATAGAAAGCAGATATAGTGGCTGCCAGGGCACGAGGGAGAAGAGAGAATGGTGAAGTGACTGATGGGTACAGGTGATGATTATCGCTGTATCTTGTTCTACTGTGTTTTGGAATTAGGTAGTTTGATGATTACACAACATTGCAAATTTAATAAAAGCCACTGACTTGTACACTTTTTTTTGAGACAGAGTTTCACTCTTGTCATCCAGGCTAGAGTGCAGTGGCACGATCTCAGCTCACTGCAATGTCTGCCACCTGAGTTCAATCAATTCTTCTGCCTCAGCCTCCCGAGTAGGTGGGACTACAGGCATGTGCCATCACACCCAGCTAATTTTCGTATTTTTGGTAGAAACTGGGTTTTACCGTGTTGGCTAGGCTGGTCTTGAACTCCTAACCTCAGGTAACCCACCCACCTTCGCCTTCCAAAGTGTTGAGACATTTGGGATTACAGGTGTGAGTCACTACACCTGGCCTTTTTTTTTGAGATGGAGTCTTGCTGTGTTGCCCAGGCTGGAGTGAAGGGGTGCAGTCTTGGCTCACTGCAACCTCTGCCTCCCAGGTTCAAGCCATTCTCTTGCCTCAGCCTCCTGAGTAGCTGGAATTACAGGCGCCCACCACCATGCCTGACCAATTTTTGTATTTTTAGTAGAGATGGGGTTTCGCCATGTTGGCCAAGATGGTCTCGAACTCCTGAACTCAAGTGATCCATCTGCTTCAGCCTCCCAAAGTGCTGGGATTATAGACATGAGCCACTATGCTTGGCTTACTTTTACACTTTAAAATAGATAAAATGGAAATGGTAAATGATATTTTTTGAATTTTATCTCCATTAAAAACAAACTGTTATTAACATAGGTTCAGGAGAGAATAGGAGGGGAAAGAACTGGTCTTAGAGTTAGTGTGAGAATAGGCAGAACTTTGGAAGTTAGTTGGAGAAGGTTACCAGGTCTGGAGAATGTTTTTCTAAGGTGGTTGAAGTTTTGGCCTTTTAGGCCCACATGGAAATGATCGTGTAGAGAAAGAGAAAATGTTGTTGTAAATGAGAGGAGAGGAAATTGGCAGCATGATTCCTTAAATAGCCAAGCAGAGACGAAATTTCTGTCTCAATGGAAGGCGTTATCCAGAGAAGAGCGTAGAGAGCTTACCTGGTTCTATAGGGAGCAAAGCATGTGGATGGCTGGTCAGTGACATTGATGATGGGACTTGTAAAATTTTCTTTTGTTTTTCTCATGTTCACAATGAAATGTGAAGCAAGGTGATAAGCTGAGAATGATGATAGGGAAGGAAGAGTTGAAAGTTATAAAAGAGATAATAGAAAGGTTTGAATAGTTGTCTAGGAATGCGGAAAAGGAAAGAATGAGGGTCACCATGGTGCCATGGAGTGAGTGTCATGAATATGAAGCCTTTTCAGTCTATGTTTCTTCCCTCCATTCAGCTGCACAGATGCAGGCTAGCGTAGATAGAGGGATGTATTTTCTTGAGTTTTTGCCCTGAGAGTATGGAGAAGTACGAGCAGGGCCAGGGAGTGATTGCTTGTCTAACATCCGTAATAAAGGAAATAAAGACATGATAGGTGAGGGAAATAATTTAAAAGAATTTAGGACCCTGGGCTTGTAGAACCTGGTGCATTTGAAATATTGTTAGAGATATAAAAAGAAATGAGCTGGAAAGATAGAGATGATGGTTAGGGAGTGGACCACTTGAAATTAAGACAAGGAAACATTATCATCATTAGTAATGGTAATACTTCTTTTGAGGAGTGGTGGTAGATGTCATTTTTCATCAAAGTTCTCCTCCAAGATTATCAACAAGAAGAAATCAAGAAACTGAGAAGTAAATGAAAGTGAATATCGAAATGACAAAGAATGACAGTGAGCTCAGAGTTAAAATCTCCAGAGGCAGAGGGACAGGGCACCCTTAGGGCTCACCTACAGGGTCTGCAGATGTATGTAACAAGCTGAACATTGAGGGGTGCCATTTGACATCATGAGAGTCAAAACTTGGATATTTAGGAAGGTCAGAGGGAGAATTGTGTGCAAGTGGTATGGGGCAGGAAGGACTCCTAGTCTGCCTTCAAGTTTTGTATTGGGAGGGCATGGGGAAAAGAAAAGAAAACAAAAATAGCGTTTTTTTTTTTTTTTTTTTGAGATGGAGTGTTACTCTGGCCCCCAGGCTGGAGTGCAGTGATGTGATCTCAGCTCACTGCAACCTCTGACTGCTGGGTTCAAGTGATTCTCCTGCCTCAGCCTTCCTAGAGGTGGGATTATGAGTGCACACACCACCACACCCGGCTAATTATTGTATTTTTCAGTAGAGAAGGGGTTTCGCCATATTGGCCAGGCTGTTCTCAAATTTCTGACCTCAAGTAATCCACTGCCTTGGGCTACCAAAGGCTGGCCCATGCCTGGGAAGACAGGTGTGAGCCACTGTGGCCAGCCAACAGGCATAATTTGAGAAAGCTCCAGAGAAAGCAGTTTCAGAGCAGATCCACCTTCCAGGTTTAAGGGGACACCATATCTTAAATTTGGCACATGTACACCTGTCCTAATGGTAGACTCTGAGTTCCAACATTTAGGGAGATTTTTAGTCCTGTGAAGGTTTGGCTTTGGGGCTTGCCAGTCACTATGGAGACATGAATAAAATATGGAAGCATTGGCATGGTTGTTTTATTCTGTTTTTCTCTCTTTGTGGTGTACAATGGTTGTTTTATTCTGTTTTTCTCTCTTTGTGAGTATGTGTGTGTGCGTGTGCATGCATGCTCACGTGTGTGTGTGTGTGAGAGAGAGAGAGAGAGAGAGAGAGAGAGAGAGATAGGGTTACCTAAAGGGTGATGATACCATAGAGAGAAGTTGGTTACAGTCATGCTTTGTAGAATGAATATTAACATTAAAAAAATACTTGAATCTTTCCAGTTGCACCTGCATTTCACTTCTTGCCAATCTTTAAATTTAACAGATGGAATTTTACCATGTCAAGAAGCATTGAATGCTGAGCAGAAACTATGCCATCCAGATACAGACCTCTGCAGATTTGATGCTACATATGAAGGATTGAGATGTAAGTGTTAAATTGAGATACTCACTTTACTGGTGTGTATGCAGTATATGAGACTCAGAGACCTCTTGTGGGAATATGCACATGCCAACCTTTGTTGATGTTAGTGTCCCAGTTTTAGCTGGAGTGTTATTGGGAGGCTGTGGTGGTGTACTAAATTCGTAAACTTAACACAATGTCATTTTATAAACAGCATTTAAAGCCACATTGGAATTATATGCAATCTTTCTTGTATAAAATTTCAGTGTGATTATGAATAGTAAATAATTTAAACTAACTAACCTAACCCCATAAAGTAGGTAAGGTAAAATATGAAGCCATTTAAAAAATCGTTGACTGGGCATGGTGGCTCATGCCAGTAATCCCAACACTTTGGAAGATTGGAATGAGAGGTTTGCTTGAGGCCAGGGACTCAAAATTAGCCTGGGTAATATAGCAAGATGCCATCTCTACAAAAAATAACAAAATAAAAAAGCTGGGTATGGTGGCCTGCACCTGTGGTCCTAGCTACTTAGGAGGCTGAGGCTGGAAGATTGCTTGAGCCCAGGAGTTTGAGGCTATAGTGGGCTATAATTGCACCACTGCTTAAGCCTGGGTGACAGAGTGAGACCCTATCTCTCTCTCTGTCTCTCTCTCTCTCTCATTATACTTTAAGTTCTGGGGTACATGTGCAGATCGTGCAGGTTTGTTACATAGGTATACATGTGCCATGGTGGTTTGCTGCATCCATTCCCCCATCATCTACATTAGGTGTTTTTCCTAATGATATCTCTTCCCAATCCCTGACCCCCAGCTATCCCTCCCCTAGCCCCTCACCCCTGAAAAGTCCCCATGTATGATGTTCCCCTCCCTGTGTCCGTGTGTTCTCATTGTTCAACTCCCACTTATGAGTGAGAACATGCAGTGTTTGGTTTTCTGTTCTTGTGTCAGTTTACTGAAAATGATGATTTCCAGCTTCATCCATGTCCCTGCAAAAGATATGAACTCATTCTTCTTTATGGCTGCATAGTATTCCATGGTGTTTATGTGCCACATTTTCTTTATTCAGTCTGTCATTGATGGGCATTTGGGTTGGTTCCAAGTCTTTGCTATTGTGAACAGTACTGTAATAAACAGACATGTGCATGTGTCATTATAATTGAATGTTTTATAATTCTTTGGGTATATTCCAGTAATGGGATTGCTGGGTCAAGTGGTATTTGGATTTCTAGATCCTTGAGAAATCGCCACACTGTCTTCCACAATGGTTGAACTGATTTATACTCCCACCAACAATGTAAAAGCATTCCTATCTCTCCACATCCTCTCCAGCATCTGTTTTCTTACCCATGTTGAACATTGATGTGAAAATCTTCAATAAAATACTGGCAAACCGAATCCAACAGCACATCAAAAAGCTTATCCATCACGATCAATCAGACTTCACCCCTGGGATGCAAGGCTGGTTCAACATACACGAATCTATAAATGTAATCCATCACATAAACAGAACCAAAGATAAAAACCACATGATTATCTCAGTAGAGGCAGAGAAGGCCTATGACAAAATCCAACAGGCCTTGATGCTAAAAACTGTCAATAAACTAGGTATTGTTGGAATGTATCTTAAAATAATAAAAGCTGTTTATGACAAACCCATAGCCAATATCATACTGAATAGGCAAAAACTGAAAGCATTCCCTTTGAAAACTGGCATGAGACAAGGGTACCCTCTCTCATCACTTCTATTTAACATAGTATTGGAAGTTCTGGCTAGAGCCATCAGACAAGAGAAAGAAATAAAGGGTATTCAAATAGAAAGAGAGGATGTCAAATTGTCCCAGTTTGCAGTTGACATAATTACATATTTAGAAAACCCCATTGTCTTAACCCAAAACCTCCTTAACCTGATAAGTAACTTCAGCAAAGTCTTAGGATACAAAATCACTGTGCAAAAATTGCAAGCATTCCTATACACCAATAATAGACAAACAGGGAGTCAAATCATGAGTGAACTCCCATTTAAAATTGCTACAAAGAGAATAAAATACCTAGGAATACAATTTACAAGGGATATGAAGGACCTCTTCAAGGAGAACTACAAACCACTGCTCAAGGAAATAAGAGAGGACACAAACAGATGGAAAAATGTTGCATGCTTATGGTTAGGAAGAGTCAATAACTTGAAAATGGCCATACTGCCCAAAGTAATTTATAGATTCAATGCTATCCCCTTCAAGCTACTACTGACTTTCTTTACGGAACTGGAAAAAACCACTTTAAACGTCATATGGAACCAAAAGGGAGCCCATGTAGCCAAGACAATCCTGAGCAAAACAAAACAAAAACAAAGGTGGAGACATTATTTTACCTGACTTCAAACTATACTTTAAGGCTGCAGTAATCAAAACAGCATGGTAATGGTACCAAAACAAAGATATAAACCAATGGAACAGAACAGAGGCCTCATAAATAACACCACACATCTACAACCATCTGATCTTTGACATACTTGACAAAAACAAGCAATGGAGAAGGGATTCCCTGTTTAATAAATAGTGTTGGTAAAACTGGCTAGCCATATGTAGAAAGCTGAAACTGGATCCCTTCCTTACACCTTATACAAAATTAACTCAAGATGGATTAAAGATTTAAACATAAGACCTAACACCATAAAAACCCTAGAAGAAAACCTAGGCAATACCTTTAAGTAGATAGGCATAGGCAAAGACTTTATGACTAAAACACCAAAAGCAATGGCAGCAAAAGACAAAATAGGCAAATGGGGCCTAATTAAACTTCAGAGCTCTGGCAGAGCAAAAGAAACTATCATTAGAGAAAACTGGCAACCAACAGAATGGGAAAAAAACTTTGCAGTCTACCCATCTGACAAAGGGCTAATGTCTCGAATCTACAAAGAACTTAAACAAATTTGCAAGAAAAAAAATAGACAACTCCATCAAAAAGTGGGCAAAGGATATGAACAGACACTTCTCAAAAGAAGACATTTATGCAGCCAACAAATACATGATAAAAAGCTGATCATCACTGGTCATTAGAGAAATGCAGATCAAAATCACATTGAGATACCACCTTATGCCAGTTAGAATGATGATCATTAAAAAATCAGAAGACTGTGTCTTAAAAATTTTAAAAATATTGTGACTGAAGCAGTGACACGTACAAGAAAAACTAGGAATCTCTCTTTTTATGGCAATGGTTTTCACTTGAGAGGATCTTGTACATGTGGATCAACTGAAAATTTTTTGCAAAATAGAGTTTCTGGTACTACTCTCTAAGGCTTTTTGAATCCCAACTTCCATATATGAATAAGTGTGTGCTAGCATGTATGTGTGTTTAAACCTTTTGGTTGATTATAACACATAATGTGGTTAAGCAGCCACTCTAGCAGACTAATAGATTACCGAGATTTTTTTCTCCCCTGTTTAGTGTGTCAGGCCTTTGGGTTTGAATTTGACATGTGTGAGTGGACGTCAGAAGCATCTGCTGCCCACATTTCCTGGATGCGCACAAAAGCAAGAGAGGTCCCTGCATTGGAATCTGCACCTCAGCAGGATCAAAGAGGTGATGATGAAGATATAAAAGAAATAATATATTTTATAAATTACTTTTAGAATTCTGCCTTATGGTTGTTAGTTATCAGACATTGCATAGGGTGTCTTAGTGAACATACTGAGTGTGTTTTATTGGAAATATATCCTGCCATAGGAGCTGAAGGTGAAAATAACAATTATGTTTCCAACAGTGTAAAAGAAAAATTGTACTAGGTTAACTTTAAGTTTTATTATTTTCTTCAGGAGTTATTAGATATTGTGTTATGTGGGAAAAAAAAGTATTAAAAGGCTTTTTTTGTTATGCCTGCTAGCTCTTTTTTTTTTTTTTGAGATGTAGTCTTACTCTATCACCTAGGCTCGAATGCAGTGGTGAGACCTCAGCTCACTGTAACCCCCTGCTTCCTGGGTTTGAGCGATTCTCCTACCTCAACCTCCCAAGTAGCTGGGGCTCCAGGATTGCACCACCACGCCCAGCTAATTTTTTAATTTTTAGTAGAGGCAGGATTTCACCATATTAGCCAGGCTGGTCTTGAACTCCTGACCTCAAGTGATCTGCCCATGTCAGCCTCCCAGAGTGCTGGGATTACAGGCATGAGCCATCATGCCTGGCTAAGCCTGCTAGCTTTTTATTTATTTATTTTTTTAAATCACTGCCGTGTTGTCAATAAGTTTCTTCCTCTTGCTAGCATATTAAATTTCTTTCCTTTTCTGGGGGATATTATTAAATTTTTTTTTCTCACTGATCTGGAAGCTTTACTTAATGTATCTTATTGGTCTGACTATTCTTAATATTTAGGATATATTCTTTATATGAAATTTCTTTGTTGAAACAACAAAACCTCAAGTGCTTTAGTATTTCTGCCTTCTTGAACATGAAAAAGTCCTTGTTGGTACCCCAAACTACTATTTAATTCTTTTTTGGGTCTTGAGCTACAGTTGAACATTTTAAAGAGTTTTAAAGTCAATATCTTGTTATGATACTTATGATGATTATATATTTCATTACTTTTCTTACTCATCATTGTTTTTTAGATTTTATGCTTTCCTTCTTGGTTCCCTTATCCCCTTGCAAAGATTCTCTTCACTCGGTTGTTCTTTCACTTAGAAAAGATCTATAGTGATGAGCTCCCATAGTATCTGTAAACTTAAAATGTTTTAAAATTGGTCTCACTTCTAAATAATAATTTATCTATTATTTTCTTCAGGAGTTATTAGATACTGTGTGAACAAAAAGGAAAAGTATTAAAAGGCTTTTTTTTTTTCTTGTTAAGGCTGCTGGCTCTTCTTTTCCCTTTTTTTCATACAATTTTAGAATAAATTTTTTTTTTAATTTCTAAGTACATGGTGATTATTCCCCTTTAGCCCCTGATCTGTACTGTAGTGATTGTGAAGTCTGAGTGTATCTAATGCTTTTTTAGTTTAATGTGGATTTTAAAAATGTTTCTTTATCTTTGATATTTGAAAATTTCAGTACGATGAGTGTAGGAATGAGTATATGTTTAATTTTTTTAATACTCAGGATGCACATACGTCATCACTTGCAGAAATTATCTGTTATTTTATTCAAGTAATTCTCTTTTACTCCCTTTAAGCTTTTTATCTTGAGTTTCTATTAAACACCACTAATGCACACACTCTATAACTTGACTGCTCCTTTTTATTTTCTATGTAATTTACTCTATTTTGAGTTATATTTCAGGGCTTCTGGCACGTGAATTTTCTCTTTGACACTATGGTCAGTCTAGGTTATATTCTGCCTATTGGGCATTTAATTTTAATGTCTTAATTTATTTTTGTTTTAGGTTTCTACTTGCTAATATCTTCTAATTTATTTCCTAGTGCTTCCTAATATGGTTTTTAATAGAATGTATTAGAATTGTATGAAATTTAATTTTATTTTTTGTACAATTTATAAATGTAATTAGTTTTGGCTATCTTTAGCATTATATTTATATGTTTTATTGTGCGGACTATTTTTTTGGGGGGGCAGTAGTAATATTATTATTGTTGTTATTTATTTTATTTAAGTTCCAGGGTATGTGTGCAGGATGTGCAGGTTTGTTATATAAGTAAACATGAGCCGTGGTGGTTGGCTGCCCCTTCAACCCATTACTTGGGTATTAAACCCAGCATACATTAGCTGTTTATCCTCAACAGACCCCAGTGTGTGTTGTTCCCCTCCTTGTCTCTGTGTTCACATTGTTCAGCTCCCACTTTTAAGTGAGAATGTGTGGTACTTAGCTTTCTGTTTCTGCATTAGTTTGCTGAGGATAATGGCTTTCAGCTTCATCCATGCTCCTGCAAAGGACATGATCTCATTCTTTTTTATGGCTTCATAGTATTCCATGGTGTATATGTACCACATTTCCATTATCCAGTCTATCATTGATGGATATTTGGGTTGATTCCATGTCTTTGCTATTGTGAATAGGGTACACACTGTTTTCAGAAAGATTAGTAGACTTTACTTTTTAGAGTTATTCTTTTTAAACTGTGCTTTTTGCCATGCAGATACCTTGTAATTTTTTGTGAAAATTTAGACATGATTTACTGTATAAGAGGAATTCATGTAAATAGCATGAGCTTTTACATTATGTTTATCCAGCTAAGGATTACATTATGCTTAGCATTTGCTGTAGCTGTAAATATCTGAGGCCAAAATTTTGTCTCATATTCTTGTTTTTGTCTTTCTTGTTGTATTTGCATTTCCTTAGAGACTTCTTTTTAAATAACGTCTGGGACATGCAGCTCTTTCAGTAGCATGAAGCATTTTGGACTTTATTTTTAAAAATAAAGTTATAAAATTATAGAAATCTCTTTATAGGTCTGTGTTGTCAATGTTATTAAATTCGAGAACAGCTCAGATTGGTTTTAAATATCAGATGGGAAAACTGATCTATCATATCTTTATGTAAAACAAAATCCATAGGTGAAGTTTAAAAGGACTGCAGATGTCTCATAATTCTATGTGGCTTGGTAAAAAGAAGACATTTTAAATTATGTTTCCTAAAACTATAAAGGACTTTTTATAAAAAGTAAATTTAAAAAATCATCCAAAGGGGCAAGAATTCTGGGAAGGATGAAGAGAAATCCTTGATTAAAAAAGGATTGGTAGAAACTTTGTGGTTGGAATAGTGAAAATAAAAGAAAAATAAAAAATAAAGTAAAAAAGTTAAACAGGATTGAATTGTGATACTTAAAAGAAGATGAAAATAATTTGGTGGTGTAGCAATTTCAATATGTAGATTTATTTTATTAAGACTATTGCATTTTTACAAAAGGATATTATTAAATTTTGATAATAGAAATTAGAAGGACATTTCTGTACATATTAGAAATAACATAAAAATGAAAACCTGTTATTTGTAGTTGATGTAATCATTTTAAAACATTGTATCCTTTTAAGTAAAATATTCGTGTTTTAATTTTAGTTTTGAGAACTTCAGAAATGTAATAGTTTTATTAAGACAGAAGGAAGCTAATGTTTTCCTAAATTGCTTCTTTTTTCTTTTATCTTTCAGGTTATTATATATGGATAGGGGCAAAGCATGCTTTTACTGTTAACCAGTTAGACAGCAGGGCTTACCTAAACAGTTCTGCGTATCACTGCTTGGGCAAGAGCTGTCATCTTCAATTCTATTATTCTATGGAAAACAGTGTCCTGAGAGTAAGACTGCATGATAATGAGGTAAGAAGAAAGTTGCATTTATTTCAAATTCCTTGAATAAACCAAGTTTCTAACTCTTGGCAACTTGTGTTTCAGTTTCTCAGTTGCGCATAGGCTTTAGGGATTCTTTAACTTGACTTTATTTGGTATTCTTTTAAAAAGAATGATTAAGAAACTAGCATGGGGACACTCTCATGTACAAAAGTTAATGTGATAATTTGCCCAATATTATTTCATAAAATTTTCAGAATTTATGAAAGTATATTAAAGAAACTATAGATCTAATAAAAACGAGATAGCCAAGATTCTGTATTGTGAGCTCTGTATTGAAGCTCTGATGTGATCTGTCTTGGATATTACATCTGTATATCATCAGAACTATAAATATAGGGGTTAAAAACTACTTGTTTGGGTAGTGATAGACATAATTTTTAAGACCGGTAATTATCGATTAAATATTAACAAATGAGTCACTTGAATTTTGAAAAATGGCACACAGGGTAGAATGAGTTCATTCTTCTATCCTCCCTTGTCCAACATGCCCAAAGAGTTCTAAAGTGTAAACTTGGGTGAGCATTCCAATTAGTATAAGAGATAAAACAAACTGGCAACTGATTCCATAGTATAGGAAAAAACTCCGCTCTGTCTCTCATATTATAAGATTCTGTCTCTCAAATTATAAGAAAAGAGGCTAATCGTAGGGAAACGATCTAGTGTATTTATCGGAACCAAATGGTTATACGTTTTAGAGAGTATTGACTGACACTTGATTCCTTAGACAGTATTCTGTAAGGTGTCCTGTCTTTTCTGACAGTGCTATCCTCTATACACGTTAGTCACTGATGCAAAATTTGCATCAAAGTACATTTAAGTCACAAATCGATGTTTTATTACATACTTAAAAGGACTCCAAATCTATAATTTAAAAAATAGTTCCTGATGAAAATGACGATTTACATCTTTCCATGAATAGAATGCTGTTCTCTGTTGTGAACATCTGTTACTCTATAAATGTGAGCAGGTAAGCCAAGAAATATCCACCAAGAATGCTGAGAGTTGTTTTCTTTATTTCCAGAGGACATTAGAACTTAAGAAGTGAAAAACTTAAGTGAAGGCAAGTTGGTAAATAAAAAATTCACTAGTTAGAATCAGCTGAAGTGTGTAGCAATTCTAGTTTATACCATCTAACCATTCTTGGGTTAGATCTGTGTCTATGACCTATAAAATAATACTTGTAGCAACAGCCTACTTTTTGTTCTTTGCAAAGATTCCATGTAATTATTTACCAAAAAATTTACACGTAATTTTTCTTTACAACCAAATTTACTTGTAATTCTTTACCATATTACATGGTCTTATTCCTAGATGCAGTCAACAGTAGTGAAACTCAACAACATTGAGTTTGATATCCTTTATTTCTTCACTGGAGGAGAAAAGAATAGACTGGTATCTCTAAGAGATAGAGTGTTAATAAATATGTTAAATATTTTTCTTGAAAGGTAAATCGGCATTATTGATCCTGGGCTGGGGGAACAAAGATATACTTTTTAAAAATTTATTTGCTGATTGATTGATTTTAAGATAAAAGAAAATTGGAACATCACTTGAAAAGCTTTGATGAGCAGCAGACTTCTTTCTTACATTGACCCCTGTTAAAAGTAACTAGAAAGAGGGAGAGTAAGAACAGAAATAAAATAAAACCTGATTTCATTTAGTCAGAATAAATTATTTTGAAAAAACATTGCTAGTGCTATCAGACTGGAAAATGTATAGAAAAATCTAGATCTCATTCATTGTGTACTATGAACTTGGCTTATGAAAATCCATTTAAGTTTGGAAAGAGCAGTGCTAACTTTTCAAAAAAATGTAAATGCATCCATCTTCAGGGGGAGTAGAGGGGAATCTATTACTCACTGTGAAAAAAGAGCACAATAACTCTAAATTATTTTCATAAAATGAAAGCCAGGGAACGTGATGAATGCTATTTGCCAAGAGGTGTCACTAAAAGCATCTGTGGAGGGTGTAAGTGTTTTCATGCTAAATAACTGAAGTTGCATAAGAAATAAGTAGAAGCAAAATTAGTTGCTTGTCTCAACTTTTTATAACTCTAGTTCATCCTGATGTACATAAAAGCTATCAGCTGACAAATATGTCCACCGCATGTGCCTCATCATCTCGTGGAAATCTTCAGTTGATGTGAATAAGTAATGAAGTAAATTGCAATGGATTTATTTAGACTACCTTCTGAAGTATTTAGGACTTGGAAATTTGGAGTAGGCATCTGAGGGTACAGGACTAAGTTGAAAATAGATTTGGTTTTAGAAAATCTTGGGCATGAATAAAATATGTGAGGTTGAGTGAGTGAGGAGACAAATATTGGTATCATGTGTCATTTGGATTACATGTTGCCTTTTAGGGCTGTTTTCTATTTCACACTAGAAAGTGGAACAGAGCCGGTCTCAGAGCTCAACCTGAGACATAATTAGGTCATTCTTCACATTTTTACCATATTGTTACCTAAAAAAAGTAATGCATTCTATATGTAATCATTATGTAGAATTTGGTCTACTTTAGGAGAGAAATGTCAAACTTACTTGAATGTCTAATAAAATGTTAATAAAATATAATATTTCAGAGCATAAAAGCATCATAAATCATAAAGACCATGCCATACATGCCATAGACACAATTTTTAAATACCTTACAGACTTCTTATTTTTATTTTTATTTATTTGAGATGGAGTATTGCTCGGTCACCCAGGCTGGAGTGCAGTGGTGCCATCTTGGCTCACTGCAACCTCTGCCTCTCAAGTTCAAGTGATTCTCCTGCCTCAGCCTCCCAAGTAGGATTACAGGAGCCCACCACCACACCCGGCTAACTTTTGTGTTTTTATTAGAGATGGGGTTTCACCATAGACTTTTATTGAGTTTCTTATACTCGATAAATGTTTTGAATTCAATAAAGGCTTGTTAGTAAACTCATAGCATGTAGTAACAATTTTACATACATTTTGCAGTCTGACAAATGACCATAATAAAGGTGCGTGACATAGATTTCTCTAAAAGATGTAAAAACGCCTTTGATAGAATGACGAAATTATGATTATAATTTTCAGAAAATAACTGTATTGTTTGGAACTTGGAACAAATGTTTTCATAGGAAAAAATATTTTGTGTAAATTGAAATTGTGCAGAAAATGCATCTGATAACATTTTTAACCTTTATATTAAATGTTTGCCTGTAATATTTTTCTTTTCTAATATCATGGCAATATTACAAAATGTAATAATGTTATTGAGATCAACATTTAAATTGCTGATTTTATTAACTGTAATTCAGAATCTTATTTTTGAAGTGCAGTACTGTTTTTTTAAAAGATTTCATCTACATTTTTGTTCCATCCTAAGACTCTTTACCTATAAAAAGGAGCTTTACTGCATAAACATGCCTCATTTTCTTATTTTTAAAAAATGTATCCAGCTCTTTCATTTTTACTACCAAGACTTTAGATTTCCTAGTATTTTATATCATACAGATAAGGTAATAACTACTAACATGTAGTTAAGGGAGCATGTATGTAAATGTGACATTAGAATATGGGGAATGAGTGATGTCTTTCTCTTCAAATGAAAGGAAGAAGAAATATTTTGGACATATAACGCATCAACTCACAGCCAATGGGTGAAAGCAGATGTGTTAATACCAGAAGGTCAGAAGACATTTAAGGTAGGAAAGAAAAAAAAAACAGGCATTTTTATATTATGCTTTAAGTTTTAGCTTTGCAGTAGTAAACTGATCATGCATACATTCCTAAAGTTAAATTAGCATTTAAATTAGGGATGCATATTTGTGTGCTTGAGGAGAGCGATTGCCTACTTTTTAAATTGTACATGTTCCTTCTCAGACCAAATTTCCCATAGCAGAGGAAATAGAATGTGTCTACTCTTGTTCACAGCTTCTTCATTCTCCACAGCCTTCCCTTCTTGTTCCTAAGCATCATGCTTTGCACCCAGGGCAACAAATTGCATTAGGAAGCAGATAAATAGTGAACTGGTATTAAAATTTAGTCGAGTATAGGCAAATGTTTTGAATGCAATAATTCATATCTTTATGACACATGGATAGCTCTGTCTATACCAAGAAATATATGAAACGTACATAGGCTGAATAGGAATGCTGGCTCCTAAAAAATTAAATGGACACTTTGTGTTGTATTATTTTGGTGCAAACATAATTGCAGCTTTTGCCACTGTGGCTTTTGCCATTACTTTTAGTGGCCAAAACCTCAATTACTTCTGCTCCGACATAATATACGGAATGTGTAAGTTTATTTATGCTGGAGTGTGAGCATAGGATGATGAGACTGGCTCTATGTGTGGGTTATGAAAGCAATTCCACTTCTTTCTGGCGAAACGCCATTCATACATCCTATCACAGCCGATCGAGTTAACATTTTGACACTGATTTTTGTAGACTGATATCTGTTTTTGTGACTTCTCAGGTAATAAACAAGTTTTTCCTCCCATAAAATGAAGATTAAATTTTGTTTTAACTCAAAGACATAGCAAAGTAAAATGTGAAGAAAATGAATTTGAGAGTTATTCCAGGTTCTCAAGTGCATGAAATATAATTAGCTGGTCAATAATTATAGGCCTTTGGGATCTAAGTTTAAACCCACCAATTTTTGAAAACCAAATTGGTATCATTTCTGCATATCTGATCTCTTGCTGCTCCAAAAATACACAGCTACAGGTCAGTAATTTTCACATCTATGATAGTCATTATGGGAAAAGTATGTACCAGCATACAAAGTTTTATTATTGGATATGATTTAAATTTAATATTATTTTCTAAATCAGATTGTTAGATTTGTAAACTGGAAATTTGATCATAAGTAATTCTTAATAAACAACCAAATACATATCCCTCGTGTTTTGTTTGTTTGTTTGTGATGGAGTCTTGCTCTGTCACCCAGGCTGGAGTGCAATGGGGTGATTTTGGCTCACCGCAGCCTCCACCTCCTGGGCTCAAGCAATTCTCTTGCCTCAGCCTCCCAAGCAGCTGAGACTACAGCCATTTGCCCCCATACCTAGCTAATTTTTGCATTTGTAGTGGAGACGGGTTTCATCACGTTGGCTGGGCTGGTCTTGAACTCCTGACCTCAAGTGATTTGCCCTCCTCGCCTTCACAAAGTGCGAGGATTACAGGTGTGAGCCTCTGCACCTATCCTCACATTTTGAAAAGAAAATCTATTCCGAAGCTTTCAGCCAGAAGAGACTGAAGGAAGTCAATTTTTATTTTTAGTATCTGGCCAGAATTTTAACCACATTTAGGGCTGTTTAATAGAACTGTCTGCATCATGGAAATGCATTATATCCAATGTCCAATATGGTAGCCGCTGATCATATTAGGCTATTGAACAATTGAAATTTGGCTACTATAACTGAGAGAACTAGGTTTTATTTAATTTTAATTAATTTGAATTGAAATAGTCCTTTGTACTCATGACTAATGTTTTGAACAGCAAAGAATTAGTTATTTGTGATATAGTCAGCTATTTCTAGTTCTGCACTTTCGGTGTTAAGTAACAGCTGCTCTTGGTAGAAACTCAAAAAATACTAATATTTTGAGATTCCTTATACTTGTCCAGCAATGTGTGGTGGTTTCATTTGCTAATATTGCCTATCTCCAGAAAAGCTAGCAATTCAGTTGGTGACAACAAGGTTTATTCACTTCAATGGCACTTCTTTTGTCATTAAAGGAATTACTCTTTTATTGAAGTTTAGTAGAGTTTTATGTTATGCCTTCACATTTTTCTATTCCTATATTATATCGGAAGTTTCTATTTGCCTGATGTTTTTCTTCATGTATTCAAATACTAATTTCAATAGTTAAAAAATAAATCAGATGCAGTTACAGCTTTTGTTCTATAAGTAAGGATGATACTTTCTTATTTTCCTTGAAAGTGAAAGCGAGAGAGCCGTAAAGATGATGACCATGTAACAGGTTGGGGACATTTTTGATAGTTAAGTGGGATGCTTGTGTTCTTTGAGCCTTTAGTGGAGCAAAAGTTTCCATTGAGTCTTAAGAGTGTGGGTTAGGCTTATCAAACAGGAATATGTCATATATTGCGTTGGTTGCTTTAAACACATTTTCTCAACAACTATTTAGTCTTTATCAACCTTCTTTAGCTTTTTCTTTATTTTGTCTTATTAAGGAGACTGTAAACTTATAAATTGATTTTTTCCCCCTGAAGATTATTTTTGAAGGGACTCTTTTGAGCCAGAGAAGTTTTATTGGGCTTGATCATCTCTGGGTCTATGCCTGTGGACAGACCCAGTCCAGAAAGCTTTGCTCTGCAGATGAATTCCCTTGCACTAGTGGCCAATGCATCGCCAGTGAATCCATCTGTGACTCTCGGCAGGACTGCTCTGATGGGAGTGATGAAGAGCCAGCAACTTGCTGTAAGTGAGTGAATGGCTTACTAGCTTATGTGCTCTAATTCAAGACTGGTAGTTGGATTTAAAATGGTCTTTGTTTCTATCAAGGCAAAGGTAAGTCATATGAATGAAATATGATAAATATGCATTATCACTCTGAAACTATTAGCACTGTTCCTTCAGGGATCTCTATTTTAACTTAATGTTTTGATTCTTGTTGCAAAGACTGCAACATCTATTTATTCAACAAATGAATAGTTGTGATAACTGTTGGCTGGGTGAGTGAACGTGTGTGCTTTGATTAAAGACAAGATGGGTGGGAGAGGGAACCTTTTTGTACCTTCCCCTTGGAGGCATAGAGTATGGCTTGCTAACTTTTATTAAGTGTATGCTTTTTTCCTCTCTAGCCAATCATCTTAGAAGCTGTAGGGAAGGGGCAAGTAGGAGGAGGGTGGCTCTTCCTGCTGGGCAGCCATGATGACAGTAGAAATCTCTTCAGCCAGGTCTGGCATTTGGGAGGGCAGAAGTGCTCCAACCTTTCTTTCAGGCCTTTTCTGAAGAGTCTTTGATACAAGTGATGACAAGAGATCCCATTACTAGTCAAGCATAGTCATATTTCAACAAAAATATAGTTTAATTTACAATCCACAGGATGGTTCTCATATGAGGTAACTTAGCAACTGAGATCCCTGTGTCTCTTTAGAAAACATGAATTCCAAGGAAATGAATCCAATTTCTGTATTACAAACAAGTGGCTTTTAAAAAATATTAAAAATTTGACATTTATTTTACTGCAGTGTTTTATTTTAGTGAGATGTTTTGTTGAGCAGAGGGGAAAATATTATAATAAGATAAATGCCACCTTTTAAGTGAAAAGCTCTGTATAATAGGTTTCTCTTGAGAAACTAGGATTTTATTAAGAGCAACACAGAGGGACAGGGGAGAGAGGAGATGAGAAAGGGTAAAATCCTCTTCTGCTGTGTTCATCAACAGCAGTTCAGTTAATACCTCAGTCTACTAGCTTTAAACCAAATAATCAGCTAATCAATATGAGCTGAAAGGATTTTTTGGGCGACTCTCGTCTTCTGTTCAAAATGAACAATGAAAGAACAATTTATCTTCTCCAATATATGTCAAGTTTCTATGTTTTATTTAATCTTTTTACAGATAATTTGGTTCATTTCAATTGGGGAAATTTATCTTTCTAACAGTTTCTATTCTTAATGTCAGTAACTGAAGGAAAATATTTTTCCTTTGTTTCCTTTTGTATAATTTTTTTTTTGAGACGGAGTTTTGCTTTGTTGCCCAGGCTCGAGTGCAGTGGCATGATCTCAGCTCACTACAATCTCCATCTCCCAGGTTCAAGAGATTCTCCTGCCTCAGCCACCCAAGTAGCTGGGATTATAGGCATGTGCCACCACATCCAGCCATTTTGTGTTTTAGTAATGATGGGGTTTCACCATGTTAGCCAGGCTGGTCTTGAACTCTTGATCTCAGGTGATCCACTTGCCTTGGCCTCCCAAAGTGCTGGAATTACATGCGCAAGCTTCTGTGCCCAGCCCACTTGTATATTTGGAAGCTTAGCTTTTTTTCCCTCCGTTGTTTTCCCCGTAGTAAATCATTTTTTATGTTCACCTTTTGAAAATTGTTTAGCATTTGAGTTTTGCCATATTTTCTTATTTATCTTCCTTTATTGACATTTCATTGATTGTCTTTATGGCATTGCTCCAATTCAGTATATCTTGATACCATTCTGCTATTTTCTTTGGGTGAATACATGAATGGGTAATTGTGTTTCTCAACAAAAACAGCATTACTTATTAGTCTTTTAAGTTTTTAAATAGTGTAACCTCATTTGTCCAAAGAAAACCTGTCATGTTTACATGATTGAGATTGACTTGATATAGGGAATATGTCATAAAAAGCCATACTGCATGCAGTATATATGAGTATTCATGTATTTGATACCAAACTGAGTGTTTCATGTAAATATTTATACAATTATTTCTGCTGTGAATAAATTATTTATATAGATTTGAATTATTCAAACTTATACTATTTGCTGCATTTATATTATTTGCTGCATTGAAGTATTTAATATATTTGTGCATATAGACACATGCATATTCTTACAAAATAAGAGAGGGTTTTCTTTTGAAATTTAAAACCACTGAAACATTTTACACATACTTATACATTTGTATTTTACAAATTTGTTTTAAAATTTTTCTATTAACATTTGTAATACCAAGTTTTTTTCATAAACAGTTCTTCCCCATTTATGAAGCACCAGAAAAATACCTTTATATCTTTTTCTTTTTATTGCACTTTAGAGTGAGTCTCTAGGAGGGTATGGCTGTGCAGGAGCTTTGAGTAGCACCAGGAATATTCTGGAGAATGAGTAAAAATGAACTCATGAGGATTGTCAGTTGGTATTCCACAGTCAGTGTGTTTTTCCCCAAAGGCATACTTACTCAGGTCCTCTCTCATGATCAAGTTGCCCTTACTTTTAGGTATTACTTTAACATATGGCATAATGTAGCCTCCAGCCCAATGGCTTTTCAAAAGCAGTTAACAAAAAGGACCTATGGGTTTTGCTGCTATAGCAAACTCCATGGATCAGAGCATCAGCACGACCTGCAAACTTAGTGAAATGCAGAACCCCAGGCTCTGGCCCAGCCCTACAGAACCAGAAGCTGCATGGAACAAAGTCCCAGGTGACTTGTCTGTATATGAAACTTTGCAAACCACTGTACCAAAGAGGCTTCAGGAAGGAAGACAGCTAGGGGAAGAAACAGATGGCATCTAAAAAAATTGATAAAAATGAAAGGCAGACAAGTCAGAGTTCTCTCAGGGTAGAAGCAAAAACTCTCATTGCTTCGTTAGTCCTTAAAAGCATCACCATCATACCAAACAATAGATTTTGGATGTTTATGAACATAATCCTGTATTAAATGAGGGTAAAGATGAAAATAAATTTGCAGTTCATTGCAGTTTTATTCACAATATCTAACCAAAACAACGGACATCTCCGAGAATGGATCAGACAAGTGGGGGTGGTGTGTGTTTATGTGTGTTTGTGTGTGTGTGTGTAAAATGTGTATGTACTCACAATGGAATATTATTCAGTTATAACAAAAAGAACAATCCTGCTATTTGTGACAGTGATGCACCTGGAGGGGATTATGCAAAGCGAAATAACGCAGACCGAGAAAGACAAATACAGCATTATCTCACTTACACATGGATTTTACAAAAGGTGAATTTGTAGAAACAGAGAGTAGAATGGCAGTTGTCCAGGGATGAGGCCTGGCAGAAATGAGGAGGTGTTGGGCAAAGGATACAAATTTTTATTTACAAGATCAATAAATTCTTGGGGTCTAGTGTACAGCCTGGTGACTATAGTTAATAACACTGTATTGTATACTTGAAATTTGCTGAGAGTAGGTCTGAAATGTTCTCATCACACACACAAAAGGCAACTATATAATGAAATGATGCTAATTAGCTTTACTATGATAATCCTTTCACTATGTATATGTATATCAAAACATTACATTGTGTAACTTAGTTACAATTTTATTTATCAATCATACGTTAATAAAGCTTTAAAAAGTAATAAATATACGTGCAACATGTTTTTAAAAATTTCTATCAAAATAATTAAAATATAACATGCCAAACATGTCCAAAGATATACATTGGGTCCCTGAACAGTTTATACATGAAATAGATCTCATTTTCAGACACTCGCTACAGCATGGATGAGCCTTGAAGACATTAATGTTAAGTGAAATAAGCCAGAGACAAAAGGACACATATTGTTTGATTCCACTTATATAAGGTACCTGGAGTAGGCAAATTCATAGAGACAGAAAGTAAAATGGTAGTTGCCAGGGCTTAAGGGAAGGGGAGATGGAAGTTATTGTTTAGTAGGATTCAGACTGGGAATGAAAAAGTTCTGGAGATGGATGGTAGTAATCATTGTACGACCATGGGAATGTACCTAAGACCACAGAACCTTACATTAAGCATTGTTAAAACGTTAAATTTATGTCATGTCTATTTTACCACAATAAAATACACATTTGTATTTATATATAAAATTTTCAATAACTCACATAGGAAATATATATATAATCTACTTCACTATGTTCCAGAAAAGTTGGCATGATAGATCAAATCAAAATAAAGAAATTCCATGAAAAAATGATTTTTTAAAATTATAGGACTTTTAAGATAATTTTAAAATCTAATATGAATTGTGTACCTTCAAAGGGGAAATTGGCATAATAGTCAAATGAAAGAAATTTAAACCAAGGATCTTGTATAGTGCATTAATTTTTGCTGTGATATTGTCTCTAGATGTCTTTCATATTAAAATAAATGTTGAATGCTAAAACACTTCATGAAGGGAAAGGAAATACCAATATATAAATATTTAGTGTAGCAGTGATTTGTGTGAGTTTCCAACACATATTAACAAAATATTTATAATGTAATCCTGTTAGAATGTAATGTATTCTCATTAAATGAAATATTCCCCATTCACTTCTTATACATAGCTTTTTTTCTTATTTCACAGAGAGCTGATTAACTTCTGGAGGATTCATAAAATATTTTACTTTTCATGATCCAGAATTTTTCTCAGCTGCACAATGAAATTTTTTCCTGTCTGCTCATATGCTTCAATGGTTAAATATGCAAGATAAAGCTTTGTCATAATCTTAAAATATTACTTTAAATGATGAACTCTGAGTAAAATTTCTCTAAAATTGTGAACAGCACCATATCTCACACAGTGCTTAGAGATGGTGAAGTGTATTCTGTAATCACAGAAAGTTAAAATAAAAGCAACCAAGTAATCAAAGTTATTGTTTATAATGAAAGCACTTTATTTATAACATGAATAGATGTTTTTTAGATTCTGCAAGTATTTACATTTTGCACATACAGTATGATAAAGCATTTAATAATTGCCAGAATGCATTTGCCTCTCATGGCTTTCTTCAGATATTTATAATTTCACTGTAAAGTTTTTAAACTATGTAGGGGAGATATCAATGGAAGAACTTCAATTTATGTTATCGGAATTTGAGTTGTATTTTACAGAACAGTGATATCCTTGAACTTTTAGCTTTAAAAAATATTATTTTATGTGTACAGGAACATATTAGTAAAAACAGCCAGGCAGTTCACCAAGATTTTTACAGAGGTGGTTGCACCATGTTGCTTTCACAAATCTTTACGGTGATGGATTTTGAAAGCTAATTTTCATTTTTCAAAGGGCGGTGGTGTTTAGTGTTCTGTAAAAAGCACAATGATTGACATTTTTTAACTGATAAAACATGTAGGTAATGAAAGAAATGGTTTGAACTTTTGTCCTAAAACCAGATTTTAACATGTATACAATCAAAAGTTGCTTTTATCTTGAGAGCTTCTTTGTTTACGTCTTTGCGGTTGAGCAACCAGTTCAGTCGTGAACTGTCGGTGTAAGGATGTGGGGTGCTTCAGTCATGTAGTACTTTTCATTTTCATGCTCATTGATCTCATTGCCATTTCACACCATTGCCTTGTTGGGGAAATTAGGATGTGGACTTCAGTAGCTATCTGCAGTGAAGAAGATTGCTGTTTGCACGGACTTGCTTTCTTTGTGTAACAATGCAGAGTTTGCTGCCATAACAGTGCAATACTGAATTTATTACCCAAACAGGGACTGAGAGAGGGGAAAAAAGAGGCAGTAATTATTATGCTAGGACAAGAGATACACACCGAGGCAACCCTCAGCCAGGCTCAGCCAGATATGTGGTTACTCTACCAATGGAAGGTTTTTTATTTCAGGGAAGTGTGTTCTGGGAATTGGGGGGTACCCTTGTAGTAGGTGGAAGGATTCCTTGGTCAAATACACAGCCAAGAATTTGGAACTCTGAAGCACATTTCAGAGGTTATATATGTACTTTGAGTCTTAATATTCCTGCACTCCATCAACTGACAGAAAATTTGGGAGGTGGCCTACATGGTGGCAGAGCTCACAGAGGACCAAGGGACTGGACCAGAGGTTCTGTGGATGCCTGAGGAGAAAGTCATGGCTAGGTTTTAAGTGCTCAAGACTGTCAAAAAACAAAAGACACTCTACCCTGGAAAGTAGTGTTTTATCAACAGCCATATCGTATAAATTATGTAGACAGACCTGAGAAGAGAAAAACATATCCTAGAGTAATAGATTTACAGCTTGGTATATGGGCCAACTGCACTTCCTTGTCATATTGGTGCACCATTAGGCAATGTGCAATATGTTTTAATTGTTATACTGTAGTCAATTTACTTGTTTTTTATTTTTAGAGAAATCTATCTAGAGGAAAAAATAATATTCATTCATAATGAAAGAAATGCTATACCAAAATCTATGGATGTTCAAGTCCCTGGAGAACTTGAGCCCCCATGGAAAAGTCTGCCCCTATATCTGCAGGTTACACATCCTGCTATTACTGTATTTTTGAACCATGGTTAGTTGAATCTGCAACAAGCAACCACAGAAATGGAAGACCCACTGTCTTTTCTATGACTATCTAGCAAGCATTGCTTTGAGCTCTAAAGGTTCAATTCACATGTAGAGAAATTGGATGTGGCATTGTCATTTACTTACTGCACTTTGGTGTTTTGAGAGTTGACATGTCAGTGATAAAATATGTGGTCATAAAATCAGGTGTCTCTACAGAGATTTGAGGATGCTTTGATTATTAAGATGTAGTGAGCTTATTTGTTATTGGCCATATTATTTAAAATTGGCCATATTATTTAAAATTTACAAGTTGAACATAATGGTCAGAAGCAGAAGCAAACCCATGGTGATGGAGTCTTTTTAATTATAAAACAGTTCCTGGTTTATGGAGGCTTCATAGTATGAGCTTTTGGTGTCAGGTTCAAAGTCTAGATGTTCCATTTACTAAAATTTACCACAGGCAAGTTGCTTCGTGTTCTGAATTCCAGTTTTCTCTTTTGGGAAATGGTATTTACTAGGTAGAGTGTAAGAATTTAGATTAACGTATGTAAAATACCTGCCACATACTTGGAACTCAGTGGTAGTATGGCTGTTTTTATTGTTATTAAAGATGATAGCATGAAGATCTTAGGAATACTTTCAAAACTTTGGTTGTTTTCTGATAAACAATTTTATTCTCCTTTTCTCCCTTACTGTTCTAAAAGTGCCTCAGCCTAAAGAGGAATATTTAGAAATAAGTTTTTAAATTAATTATATTAATTTATCCCCAAAAGTATTATCTAAGATAGTCTGATACTATGATTTTTATAGGAAAAGGAAATTTAAGCACATAAAAACGAATTTCTTGAAAGCACTAATCAAGCTATTAGACTTTCGAGTTTACTGTCCAGTTTTATGAAGCTGTCTAGTTTTCTCTCATGAATTTGGTGTCAAAGCTGGGAAAGATGCCTATAAAGCATGCTCCAAACCCCAACTTTCTCTAGAACCAGTTATTTTATGATAAATGGAGGAAGTTAAGTACTTGGCAACCTTTTAGTTATGTATTAAGAGAAGACAGCTCAGGTCAGGTGCAGAGGCTCAGGCAGGGCACAGTGGCTCATGGCTGTAATCCCAGCACTTTGTCAGGCCAAGATAAGCAGATCACTTGAGGTCAGGAGTTTGAGACAAGGCTGGCCAACATAGTGAAATACTGCCTCTCCTAAAAATACAAAAAGCCCAGCATTGTGGCATGTTCCTATAATCCCAGCTATTTGGGAGGCTGAGGCAGGAAAATTGCTTGAAGCCAGGAGGTGGAGGTTGCATTGAGCTGAGATTGCACCACTGCACTCCAACCTGCCTGGGCAATAGAGCGAGACTCCACCTCCAAAAAAAAAAAAAAAAAGAAAGAAAGAAAAGAAAAAAAAAAAAAAGATAAGCTTAGTCCAGAATATCTAATTTACCTGCAATTCCAAGTGGCTAGGTATTTTTTTTAAAGAAAGTATTAGGAGAGAATAATAAAATGAACACCGAGCGGCTGACCTCAAGTTGTTTGTGTATCCAGAATTAATTTAAATTTCCCCTCTTCCCTGTGGATTTTTTTTCTTTAAACTACCATCTCAGCAGGTTTATACTAGGCAAGTAAATTAGTTACTCCCTGAAAAGCTCTGTAGTTCCACCTTGCATCATTAAATACAATAGAGATGGCCAACTAGAATAAAATGCATCAGACTTACAGATAGAAGCATGTGGAAGGGTCATGGCTTGCACAGCACATGGGATATTGTGTGTGGGACTGGATAAAGGAAAACTATTCTGATCATCAGAAAACATTCGCTTCCATGCAGAATAATTATGCTGGCCTCCTAAGATGATTAGCTAATGTAGAGCAGTGTTTCCCTGCATGCTTTTACTTCATTTCTGCTCACCTGTTCTCTCTTCCACGTGTAACAGTAAAGCGTCTCACCTGTGACTTTGAGTCTGGTTTCTGTGGCTGGGAGCCATTTCTCACAGAAGATTCACACTGGAAGCTGGCGAAAGGATTGAATAATGGAGAGTACCACTTTCCCGCAGCTGATCACACAGCAAACATAAATCATGGTAGGACATTTTCTTCCTTTTGGGAGGATTAGTTTTCTTTCTTACATGTTGTGGAATGATGATACCATGTATTTTCATTTTTTTCCTGTGGATTATACACGTGGAACTCTGGTTTGTCTTGCTTTAAAACCTCTTGACCAAGTTGCTGATTGGTGGGTAACTGAGTTCCCTGAAAGGAGCATTGTTTTAATCACCAACGTTTTTGTTGTTGCAATTTTTATAAGGTTGGGTTAAAGGCATAAAGAGGTGGAAAACTTTTCTGATCATTTTCTCAAGTTTCCTGGAACCGTTTACAGTATGCTTGACTTCTTTTTAGAGCAATCCAATTTTTTTCAAAACAGGAAGAAAAATAGTCTAATCTCCTTTCTGGGAACTAACAACAGAGATTTAGCACTATCTGTAAAATAAATCTACAAATACTTGAATGTAATTTAGTCACTCTTCGGGCTTCTTTATTACAAACAGTCTTATTCTTACACACATATATTTTAACCATCATTCCAGTGTTTACATATTCTCTTAAAATAGAGGAACCATAACTACCTGTGGTATTCCAATAAGCACCTGTGAAACTCCAATGAAACAGAAAGGATTTGTTCTCTTTTCTTTTGTTTTGTTTACATTTATCATCGATGTCATTCCCTATAGATGTTAGCATCATATTAACATTAATTTTTAAATGTATATGTTTTAAGTAAAGACAGTGTCTCACCATGTTCCCCAGGGTGATCTTGAACTCCTGGCCTCAAGCAATCTTCTTACTTTGGCCTCCCAAAGTGCTAGGATTAAAAGACTGAGCCACCACACCTGACCAATCTTATGATAGCACAACTGCACTTATGCTGTAGATTATCTTTCAGTCTCATTGAACATTATCCTATTTCTTTCTTCTTTCAGACTTCCAAAGAATTATACCAAAAATAAATGTTGATCATATTTTTAATTACATCCATTAGAAATTGGGGTTGGTGGTAGTGGGAGATGGTGCTGGGGGATAGGGTGGGCGAATCGAATCATTCATCTTTTGGCTACAGCCATAAATCCAGTTCATTGTTTAACAATGTAGTAAGTTCTTAATTTTTGCTTTTGTGCCATGACCCATTTCTTTAACATTTTGTGGTGGACTATATTAAGTTTAAATTTTAAAATAGAATGGGGACTATAAATCATTGGAACTATGTATTAACAGCACATTTTCTCAAAACTCATATAATGTTTTGCTTCTTTTTCTCTGTTCAAGCCAATTATGAAATATATAGCATATATAATAATGCCTGGATGCACAAAGATGGACACCAATGATCCCTGCCTTTGAGGTGGTGGTCTGAGTCTAGTAGCTGAAGTAGATAAGCAAGGAATTGCAATCGGTTCTAGCGAATGCTTTAAGAGGGATGGAGCGTGACTTAGATGGATTTGAGATGCTTTACAGAAGGAGATGACTCCTGAACTGAGCACTGAAGAGAAATTAAAAGCAGTCAGAAAGCCATAAGTAATGAAATATGGAGGGAAAGCAGAACCAAAGAGGGGTGGCAGGGCTTGTGTCCTATTTAGAGGAAAGAATCCCAAAAGAGGACAGAGAGACGAGTCACTTTGGATGAAAGACGTGTGTGATTAGATAGGGAGAACAGAAATGATGAAACAGGAGAGGAAGGAAGGGGACTCTAGAGAGTGCTGAGGAATTGGAAATGTGTCTTCAGGATGATGGTGACCCAGGTAGTCATATTAAAACATGTGACCAATCAAATTTGTTCTAAAGGGCTGTTTTGGCTGAGATGGGGGAAATGGAGAGGGTGAAGGGCTGGATTGAAAAAACATGGATGTGCTGAAGAAATATCAGTGAGAGATGATGAAGCCCTGAGCCTAGGCAGTGATTCCCAAAGGGATGGTGCTGTGTCATGGTGGTCTGATGTAAGTGCTACCATAACTAGTTAGGGAAGAGCATGGGCTGCCCAGGATTGTGCTGGTTGGTGTTCCACCTGTGTCTAAATACCAGTGTGCTTCAGTTTTATTAGATAGAAAATAGAGAAAAGAGAAGTAGCTTGCCTTTAGAGTTGTCATGAGGATTAAATGAAGTAACACCTGTGAAGGTTTTTCATATAGTAAGAGTTCCATAAGCATTAATAGGTATTTGTTGTTCATTCTAATAAGAAGACTATGAATAACACCAGATAGGACAATTAGAAAATATGCTTATGATTCACCTTCAGACTCTTGCCATCTTATAATTACTATGTAATTGTGATTTGCATTAAAAAGATTATAATAGAGCTCCTGTGTGAAATGTGGAAAGACCCATTCTTCTTTTCCAGTGAGATGCATAGTGAAATAGAACAATATGACTGATAAAACTTGGGGTAGCTAGTTGATCTTACCCAGAGTGTGAGGAACAGAAATGCACTCTTTCTCATTTTAGGAAGGGCCAAATATATATATATATCTGGATCATGGATGGAGTCAACATCTGTTTACTCCAGATATCAAACCTGCTGTTATCAAACTTTAAAGAGAATCAGTAGTGGTTTTAAGTTACAAGTGCAGAAGAGGAGAAGAAAAAAGGAACAGGAAGAGAAAGGAAAGTGAAATGGAAATTTCTGGGAGAATTAGAGGCAGCCTAATAGTTCTGATATTTAAGAAAGTGGAGTTCTAGTTCATTTTGTTCTTAGAGCTTTAAACATATAGATTACAGCTTTTTAAACTATTTATTTATTTGAGGCAGTCTCACTCGGTTGCCCAGGCTGGAGTGCAGTAGTGTGATCTATGCTCACTGCAGACTCCACTTCCCAGGTTCAAGCATTTCTCCTGCCTTCGCCTCCCAAGTAGCTGAGACTACCAGTGCACACTACCACGCCCAGCTAATTTTTTTGTTTTTGTATTTTTACTAGAGTCGGAGGTTTCACCATGTTGCCCAGGCTGGATATGTTGACATTATTTCGTTTTTTTGTTTATATGTGTGTAATTAAGTCTCGAATTTCCTACCTTCCTCTTTTGCTTGGTTTCTACCTTCCCATTCCCAGTTACTCGGTTAAATTTCCATTGAAATAGGCAGCTCATTTTAATTATCTTCTACTTTTATCTATGGTTATATAGTCACACACAGATGTATGCATATAGTAGATATGTACATATTTAAAATTATATGTGTTTCTGTGGTTATTTTATAAGAAATATATTATTTTGTAACTATTGTCCCTACCTTGTTACTAAAGAGAGCTTATGGCAATTGCTCCAAGTCATCAAATACTATCTACTTTTTTTTCATTTTTTATGATGAAGTGTAGGTTAAATGTAGTAAAATTCAACCATTTTAGTGTAGAGTTCACTGAGGTGCAACCAACATATACGATTGTGTAACCATCACAAATATGAAGATATAAGACAATTTCATTCCTGCCCTACACATTCTTCTGTGCCATTTTGTACTCAGTAATTCTCCCATCTCCAACCACTGACACTGAATGATCTGATTTCTAGCCCTACTGTACTGGCTATTCCAGAAAGTCTTGAAAATGGAATCATATCATATGTAGCATTTTGATTCTGGCCTCTTTCAGTTAGCGTATGAGGCTCATCCATGCTGCTGGCTTCAGCCGCACTTCCTTCCTTTTTCTCTGCTGAGTAGTGGGGTCCACTGTGGGGATGAACAGTGCTTCATTTATCCACTAACCAGCTGCAGGACACTTGGATTGTTTCCAAATATTGTTGAATGTGAGTAAAAGCACTTTGCATATGTGTTTTTGTCTGGACATAAGTGTTTATTTGGTTTGAGTTCTCTATCCATTGCCTGTGTCTGTTTTTTGTACTCTGCTTGGTGAGAGAATCCTACCATTCCTGACTTTCTATGGCCTTCGAGAAATATTCCAGCTATCCATTTCAGGTGTTTATACCCCCAGACTCAGATAGTTTTCTCCAATCCATACACTAATTGATCCTCACATAGCGATTTAGGTGGGACTGTCTGCAGATCTCTGGAATTTGCTGTCTTCACAACTGTAGAGAAAGCTTTAGTACCTGAAAGGGGCAGCTGGGACTCTGTCTTATGAATTCTAGCCATGTGGGTCTCCTCAAAGCACTGACTCTGTTTCAGTTTGAGGAGACCACCAAACTTCTGTGTTTCCCTCTGCACAGGCACATGGAAACTGTCTAGGCAGTAAGCTGTGGTAATTACAGGACTTAACACATTTGTTTCTTCTCTCTCAGAGATCACTCTCCTGTGATGTGTCACTATCCTACATTCCCATCGTCCTGTATTTGAAAATTCATGTTAAATATGCTTTTTTCTTCTTGCTAGTTTAAGACAGAAGATAGAATCTTGTCTGTGACACTCAATCTTACCTGGAATCAGAAGTTTAATTCATGTTTGTTTATTTAGCTTAATTTACTTGGTTTGGATACACCATAATGTATCTAGCCATTCCCCCAACCAGTGACATCAGTACCATGACGATGCTCTGAATTTATTCTTGCACAATTTCCTCATATAGGATACTTTTAATTTTATTCAATAGATAACTAGGAGTGCGACTTCTATATTTTTAAAGCAAGATGTGTATTTATACCTTCAATAAAGATAGATTTCTTTTCCCTAAAACTATAGTACTTCAGTTTTCAGTGGCAAAATGGGAGTACTTTTTCCTGTTTTTCTACCAGCAAGAAGCATTACAATTCTCTTAAAAAAATCCAATTAATGGGTATATAATGATTTCTCGTATGTAATAATTATTTGTATTTCACTGAAAAATATTTTTTAAATGTTTCAATTTATTTAGGTTCTTTAATTTTACTAAATGATATTTTACAGCTCTCAGTGTAAAGATTTTGAAAATTTTTTTGCTAATATTCTCCTAGGTTTTTGTAGCTGTTATAAATGTTACTTTTAAAAAACTTCTTATTTTGATAATTGTTGACATATAAAATGCATTTTTATAGAAAATATTGATCTTATAGCCAATGGCCTTGCTAATTTTATTTATTGCAGCTAAGAACTTAAATATTTTATTTTCTAGGGTCACATTTATTTTGTCTGCAAATAATGATGATTTTATTTCCTTTTTTCTTAATCTTGAGACTTCTTTTTTTTTCTTTTCTTTTTTTTATTGCATTTTAGGTTTTGGGGTACATGTGCAGAACATGTAAGATAGTTGCATAGGTACACACATGGCAGTGTGTTTTGCTATTTTCCTTTTGCTGTTTTCTGTACTGGATAGAATTTCTAGAATGTCTTGAATAGAACTGGCAATAGCTGCTAGACTTGTCTTATTTCTGTCTCAGAGGAAAACAGTCAATAGTTTAATCTTAAGTGCCCTGCTTACTGAAAAATTGTATTATCATATAAGAATGTTACTTTCTATTCAGAGGGTGCTTTTTAATTAATAATAAATGCAAGTTAAAATTTTTCAGATTTTTTTCAGTATCTGTTGTGATCATTTGTCAGTTTATCTTTTTTGTCTATAATGTACACTGATTTTTTAAATATTAAACCCATCTTCCATTCCTGAACCAAACCTCATTGGAATAGTTTTATTTTATTTTATATATTATTTATTTCTTTATACAGTAATGCTTGTTTATAACTTTTGCATTTGTATTTATTATAAAGACTAGCCTCTAACATTTTCAAAACATATAAGGTGTTACTTCTAGGCCATTGCATTAAAAATTGTGCAAGTTTTATAAAAGATGAGGTCAAGACAGATGTAAACACTTTAACACAGAGAGTCTCTTCACTCTATCCTTTAATTTATATATTATGCTGATCATATAACCCCTTTGGGGTATGTGGATGTGTAAGAAGTTTACCATAAACAATTCTGATTACCACAAGTGAACTCCTTGGCATTACTCGGAATTAAATTGGTAAATTCCATATTTCTCTAACTTTGCTCATTGTTTAGAGCAGGCTTATAAAAAGATAAATCAAGAGACCTATTTGTCCTAGAAGTTCCTGGGTCTGTGATCAGAGTTTAGCCTATGTTTATATCTTATCTGCATGTACCATTTTAAGATAATATTATCAATTTTCCAAATATTTGGTTAAAAGTATCATAGGGTAGCATGTAGCTTCCAAATCAATTGTCAGTAACTTCATATTTTAATTCTATTATCTTTCCATCTAGAAACATGTTATCTCTTTTCATCAACCAGAGACTCTGTAGACTTTCACAAAGTTTATAATGTTCTTCATATAAATCATGTCCCTTTTGTGTTAAATTTATTCCTATATTTAAAAAAATAATTTCGTTACCAGGAGTTGGACATTTCTTGCTGTTTCTTTATCTAGAAACTTACTGCTAATGTTATAATTTTATAATATATGTTTCCATTTAGCTTACCAAATTGTCTAAATGTTATTATAATTATAAAAAAATAGAATACTTTGTGTTTTTATTTTTATAATTATATTATTGGTAAAACATAAGAACTTCTACTTTTTTCTATAATGTCTACTCAATATTTTATTTCCTTGACTTCTACATTCACTAGACCTTTAAGATAATATTAGTCTGAGATAATGAATGTTATCTAATATTATCTCTAATTGATAATTAGTGCAGGAATATGTCATTTCTCATTTTAAGTAATATCATTTGCCAGTTAGAATGCTATTTATTTTGGGGTTGTTCACTAGTCTTTATTTAATTATTTCCTTTTGTTATTTTATTAAGATTTGTGACTTTGAAATTGTTCACTAGATTTTCATAGTCTTTTCAACATTTAGATGAGATTCTATGACTTGACACTTTCATTTGTTTATGTAACTGAATATGGTGATTGAGTTCCTACATTAAACCAAAACTCCATTCTGGGAAGGCTCGGATTAATTAAGACACACTATTTTTGGATAACAATTTCAAATTTATTTGATATAATTTTGATTAGAATATTTATTTCTATGCTCGCAAGTGAGATCGCTCTATAGATTTTTAAATTTTGTCCTAATTTCATCAGTTTTATTAAAAATTAAAGGTATTCTGGCAACCTAAAATGAATCAAGGAGCTCTCCATATTTTTCTAAGATCTAAGGTCCCTAAAATAATGTTGCAAATGTTTGTTTGTTTATTTTTAAATTAAATATGGAGTCAAGTGCAGTGGCTCATGCCTGAAATCCTAGTAGTTTTAGGGCCAAGGCATGAGGATTGCTTGAGACCAGGAGTTCAAGACAGTGTCCTTATAAAAAATTTTAAAATTAGCTGTATGTGGTAGTATGCTCCTGTTGTCCCAGTGGGAGACTGAAACTGAAGGATTGTTTGAACCCAGGAATTCCAGGAAGCAGTGAGCCACAATCATGCTACTGCACTCCAGCCTGGGTGACAGAGTCAGAACCTGTCTCAGAGAAAAAAGAAGAAAGAAAGAAAAGAGTATTAAATTTAACTCAGCTGTCAGACCATACATTTCTTGGTAGGTTTTCTTTTCATTACTTTTTCAGTTACTTTGGTTGTGTGTTTTACTTAAATCTGAAGGTTTTTAGGTGGAAGAATTTTTCAAAATCACCTTTTCCCAGTCTTTTTTTTTCTAGAAGCATAGAGAATTTAATGAACTTACTTTATACACTGTTTCTATTACTTGTAGTTTGAAATTTGGAAATAGTAATCTTTATCTTTCCCAGTTGTTTTTTGACGTTTAAAAACAATATAAACAAATTTTCATTTTTCCTACTCAAAGATGACATTGCTGACTCACATCCTTGGTTGTTTGGTTAAACATGTGATGGAGTCTATGAAATCATACATTCTGGTTAGGCATGGTAACTCACGCCTATAATCCCAGCATTTTGGAAGGCTGAGGTGGGCAAATCACAATGTCAAGAGTTCGAGACCAGCCTGGCCAACATAGCGAAACCTCATCTCTACTGAAAATACAAAAAAATCAGCTGGCCTTGGTGGCAGGCGCCTGTAATCCCAGGTACTCAGGAGGCTGCAGCAGGAGAATTGCTTGAGCCTGGGATGTGGTGGTTGCAGTGAGCCAAGATTGAGCCATTGTACTCCAGCCTGGGCAACAGTGTGAGACTCTGTCTCACCAAAAAAAAAAACAAAAAACTCATACATTCTAATTCTAAATCCTTTCCTTTCTGTGCAGTTGGCATTGACTTGTATCTAGGAAATTCACTCTCTGAATATGGTATTTTCCAATGAGAATAACTGGGTTTCCAAATTGCCCTTCACTGTGATTATCAAAGGGCAGGATCAGACCTTGACATTGTTGGGTATAGCCTTCCTTGTAAGTCTTCAATATTCAGTGAAGCTACCCTAGACAGCAGCTCCAAACGTGTGATCTTTTAAGCTGCTGAGAGATGTTATCCCTGGCACATTTGCCATAAGCACATCCTCAGTAGTTAAAATTTAAAAGCAGTTATTTTGTTAATGTTCAGATTAGATCTTTAATTAAGCTTTCATCCCCTCTAGCACAGACAACAATGTCAAACATGTGAGCCCCAGGAAAAACCAAAATCCATTCCATAGGCTGATATCCTTCAGTACTTTGTGAAGAAACTAAAAAATAAGACTCTCCTGAGGATTCATTAAAGGCATGTTGAATGAGTATCTGGCAGCTTAGAAGCTTCATTTAATTTGATGTCAAATTCTATGATATGAGTGAAGCCAATAAAAATGTTCATTTAGGTTATTTGGATCAAGAGCTTGTTTTTAATTGATTAACTGTTATTTTAGGTATTTAATGTTATACATATATAAATGCCAATGGTTATCTACAAAACATAATAGTAAATATGTAAAAATGTAATTTTCTTTATCAAAAGGATAGTTTAACGTGTACAAAGATAAGATTGTGGAGCAAAGAATAGCTAAGTGTGCAAGAGAATTTGCATCTGTGACACTTTCCCTTTGTTTTTGCAGGATCATTTATTTATTTGGAGGCACAGCAATCCCCTGGGGTGGCCAAGCTTGGAAGTCCTGTTCTTACAAAATTGCTCACTGCTTCTACCCCATGTCAGGTAATCAGCTGTTCTGAATTTCCATTGGCCATTCTGCGGTTGTAAATCGCTAGGCTTGGGTTACTCTGCTAGTAAATGCCTGCCATTTTTTACTATCACTTTAATGATGAATTAAGAGATTTATATGTGCTATTTCAGTATGAAATGCCACGTCCTTCTAGAAGACCATTTGTAACACGTAATTGGCACCATTCTTTTTGAGGGCTATTACAGAAGCTTTCTGTTATTTTATATTCTTTTCACACAGTCATTTCAATAATCTAAATCTGTGGATACATGTTGCCAAAACCTTTGGACAATGATGTTGATTGAGAAAAATAAAATCAGTTAAATAAGCATTTGTTGAAAGAAAGACAAATGGATGAGTAAAGATAAATGTATACAGAAAAAAATATTACATTTACTGAAATTTCTTTTTTTTTTAATGAGTCCTCTGGTGCCAGGTAAACACAAACCAAGCAGTGAAATACTCTTTTTATTTCAACAGCATATGAGAGAGGATGGACTAGTCAGATTTGGTTCAAGTCTCTTTTGCCACTTTCTAATTGTGGTACAGACAAATTGTATATTCCTTTTCAGACTCAATGTCTACACCAGAAACACAACATAATTGTATGGATTAAAAGTCAGCATTTATACTGGATTCAGATACAACTGTATGAATTAATGTCACTGATTAAAGTGTGATTAGATAAAGCACCTGGCAAACTATTTGGTACATAGGAGGTAAACAATATTTGTACCAAACTTCGGTATATATGTAACAAATATAGCCAGGTGCGGTGGCTCACGCTGGTAATCCCAGCACTTTGGGAGGCCGAGGCAGGTGGATCACGAGGTCAAGAGATCGAGACCATCCTGGTCAACATGGTGAAACCCCGTCTCTACTAAAAATACAAAAAATTAGCTGGGCATGGTGGTGCATGCCTGTAATCCCAGGTACTCAGGAGGCTGAGGCAGTAGAATTGCCTGAACCCCGGAGGCAGAGGTTGCGGTGAGCCGAGATTGCGCCATTGCATTCCAGCCTGGGTAATGAGAGCCAAACTCCATTTCAAAAATAAATAAATAAATAAATAAATAAATGTATATATAATGTGATATATATATATCACATTATATATACATATATATGATGTTAATTCAGGAAACAATTCCTTTGGTATATATGTACCAAATACAATCTTAATTGAGGAAACATAATTCCTTTGCTTTCCACGAAAGTGACATCTAAATCAGGTGTCTGTATTCAGCTTGTCTTGTTTTCAGTCCTTTTGAGAGGTCCAACATGCCTCTCAGACATTAGGATTTCAGCTCATTTTTTGTTCTCTACTTATTAGAAAATAATGAAGAGATCAATACTACCACGCAGTAAATTCATCGCATGTAACTGTAGTATTAGAGCAGTTTACCTTGGCATCTCTGCTGATGAACAGTATATTATTCAGAGGTATAAACCTAATTAAACTTTCAGTTTGGTGTAAGTCCGAGTAGAAGTGCCCTGAGTTCTTAATAGTGATGTTCTACTTTCTTTTTTTTCTTTTGTTTTTCTTCCCATTTCTTTGTGAGAATAAGAATTACAACTGTCCGGTCTCTATTTGTACTTTATCCAAATCCCTTTTACCCATTCCCACTTCTTTATAATTAAATCCTGCAAGATAGGCAGAAAAAGAGAAAGACAGATATAGAGATTTTTTTAGAAGGTGGTAGGGGAAACTCCAGAAGCCCTTGCTCTTTTTTTTTTTTTTTTTTAGCACTTGTTCTTTAAAAGTACAAGCTAACTTAGTTGAAATTCAAGGTCATACATCAATGTGATGAGATCACTGATGGTAAATATACAGAAGAAATTGAATGTAAAGGAATACGGTGTGTTAATTCTGCCTCCTTTGTAGAAATTTGAAGATATTAAGAGCTTATTAGAAATTCCTATGACTCACCAAAAGTCACTGAGAAATCATATCTATGTATGTGATTTTAAAAGCTGATCTACATTTCCCATCATTGTATGCTTGCTGATAGCCATTGATTCGGGGTCACCAGGATTGAGTTTTAGTTTATCATTGCCTCCACTTGAGGATACTTAATTTTTGCTTAAATTTGTAACTTAGTTTGGGTTGGCGGTGTTATTTAGGTGGGGTCTCAGTGAAAATGCTGACATGGACCCTTCAGGTGCTTGCTAGTTTCTCTCAAAACCAAGGCTTCAATCTCCAAAGGCTATCGATACTGACTTAACGGTTTGCCTTGTTTTTTGAAAAACCGAGACTGTTTAAAGGAGCCACTACAGACTGCCAGAAGAGGTATTTGTTTGTCACGCTTTTCTCTATGTGCTGGAGTTTTAGGAGGCTTTGAGTTAGCAGGAAGGATATTTGGGCTACTTTATAATGCTTTCCAGTTTAGGAAGTAGGAGTAAACTGTAGAAGAATGTTATTGATCGTCCATGATAAACATAGCTAAGGCTCTTTCTCAGCATTCTTTTAAGACTATAATATGACTTTTTAAAAATAAGTTTGTGGCAATATGTGATATTTTCTTTCATAAAAGTTAAAGAATAAGCAAACAAAACAAATTATTACTTTCTTGGGTAACTGGAAAATATAGCTAACCCTCCAAACTGGAAGGTATTGATAATAGTGCTTTCATGGAACCAATGTCCGTCATTATAAGGTAGTAGTCAGTCAGTGAGATAATCAGTGTGGGGTACTTTGATATGATTAAAGCCTTCATTTTCTGAAATTAGATGATTTTTTCCCCCTACATAATCCTATCAGGCTAATATGGTTAAGATTTTTTTTTATGAAGACACTTTAAATAAACATGAGCTGTCTTGTGAGTTGCCGTTTCTAACAGCACCATTTTAGGGCTACTTTGCATGGATTACCTTGTATTTTATATGTGGCCAACACATGGCATCAGCATGGACAGTTGTTCCTGCAGCTAATCATTGTTCAAGATGCGGACTTTAATTTGTGCTTCAAAAGTCCCTTCAGCCACTGGTGGAAAATTGGCATTTTTCTTTGAAATATGAGATAGGACAAACAGAACATGAGGAAGCCCAAAGCCATCCTGTCTCATTGGTGTTGAATGCTGTTAGTGTTTCCACTTAATTAGGAAATGTAACGTATGAAGGGGATTAGTGTGGGTACCAATATTTTCTGAGTTCTCATATTTGAGTTACTATGTTAGCAACAAATCCCTTACTTTTAGGACTTTGCAATTAAATACAGGAAGATGGATGATAAGAAGTTTTGCTTTCAAAGTTAGTTTGTCTGTTCATCTTTTGGCATTTCTTTTGTTTTTAATTCTCCAACTTGTTTTGCAATTACATTAATATTCCTTCAGTATAGGATAATTCATAGATTGTTTTACAAATATGAATGAGAAAATCAGGACCAAGATAGATGAAAGCAGAGATGGGTTGGTTTCCAGAGTTTATTAGGGCCAGCCTACACATTTGAGTCTTCCAGTGCAGAGAGGGCCACATGTGGTTCAGATTCAAGTAAGTAAAAAAGAAACAAAACTGAAAATATTTCTTCTGAGACTTCTTCCCTGAGTACTTGCTATGATACCAAAGTAAACATTCTACCTGTGACTCAACATGCATATATTGCTTATCTGCTCTGTGCTGATCACAGTCCTCGATCGGGGGAATATAATAGCAACAACCGAAACACATGCTTGCTCTAACAAAATGTAGTTTAGTGAGGGATACTGACAGTGATTCAGTGTAAAATGCTACAAACTACAAGAGGGTGAGTCCAGTAGAATAACAATACTCTACTTAAAAAACTCTCTTAAAGAAAAGTTTTGAAAGGCCATGCCTTACAATGTCCCTAAAGTAGGACAATGAACTCGAGTCAAAGAACAATTTAGAAAAACAGTAATTTTGCAGCATGTCCTAGAACAGTGCAGTTGTGCTCCATTCCCTGGTTGTTGTGTTTAATCCAAGGATCAATGTTAGAGTATCTGATGGATTCTAGAGGAAGCAACAGTCTACGGAGGAAAGGGTGAGCAGGTGCTCTCTCCTCTCTGTATATCAAAGCACATGCAGATTAATCATTTATACAGACCAACAGATTCTGCTTTATCGAAGTGTTGTAACTGAGCGAGTTAGATGGAATGTACCACACACTGAGTTCGAAATTAAGAGTCCTCTATTGATTTGCCGGCGACGGAGAGAGACGGCTAATGCTCAAAATTTTCTCATCCCTGAGGAAGGGGCCTGATTATCTTTTATGTCTTGATTTAGGTAGGGGAGGGGAGTACCTAGCTGAAGTGGAATTTTACAAAACCCGAAAAGCAGGTTAGAGAAAGGGGTTGTGGGCACAGGTGATCCAAGAAGGGGGCCGATCAGGCTCCTTCTACACAATGATCAAAAGGAAACTTTTTTCTTACGATAGCAGCGGGGAGGTATGCCAAGCAGGATGCAGTTACAGTGGTTACAAGTGTTAAGAACTGTATACTTCAATGCTTCTAAGTGCAGCAAAGGGGCTGTGGTAAGGAGGGAGAAGCCAGGTTGGAGTTTACAGCTAAAGTGGAGTCAGTTATGCTAGCCCAGGGTAGGTTATTACAGAATATTGTAAACCTGAATTTAAGTTTGTTCAGGAGAAGAATGCCCAGGAAAAAGCATAATTGAGTAGGAGCCGTACAGATCACTATGGTAATAGTGAGGGATGTGTGTGTTTGTCTGTGTGTTTATGTATGTGATGAATGATTCCCTCTTTATAATAATGATTATATAATATTATACATTATAATATGTTATAATATTATAATAATGGATTATATATAGGTATAATTATATATTATATAAATATTAGTATTATATAATTGTTATAGTATTGACATCAGTCAGATATATTCCCTTTTAATATAATATAATAATAATATTCTCAGATGAATTTTGAGGAACTATAGATAGCTTTTTTTCTTTTCTGTTATTTGTTTCTTTTGCTTTTTTTGGCTATCATTCTTCTGTATCTTTGTATTCTAGATCTTATAAAGATACAGCAAGTGTGGCAATAAGCAGACTGAGGAAGATGTAAAGGGCCTTATGTGATACAGAGAAGGCAAAGGTAGCTGAGGGTTTGGAATAAAATTAAGAATAGACATGAAGAGCTGACCAAGGAGCTCTGAGATTGAGAAGAAATTGGACAAAGGCCATAGAAAAGTTGAGAAAATTGGCAAAAAATTTAAAGAGAATTACACCAGAAGACAGATCAAAATTAAAAAAAAGAAAGAAAACAAAGAAATAAGGAAGAAATCATTTTAAACTTCTGAATCATGACCTTGAGTGTCCCAGAATGAAGTATCAGAGAGAGCCCAAGGCCCCAGAGGAACTGTTCTGACCCGAGTGCCAATGGAGCCAAGACTATCACCCCCTTTCCAGCTTAGATACCCATATGCAGTAACTGGTGTAAATCACCAGATGCATTCTCCTTTATTAGAAAATGTATCCTTTAATATTATATATATAATATATATATTATTTTATATATATATTTAATAGAAATAATTTAAAATCTAAGAATATAATTTAAAATAATTGGAGCTTTCATTTTTGTCTTCAGTCTTCTACAAGAACTGCTTTGTTGGAAAGTTTAACTGCATGAAATTCTCTTGAATGCAGTGATTCAAAGTCTTGAATAGTCATACTTTAAATAAAATCTGCCTTAGTAAAGACCGAAGAAAAGTAAAAGCGAGCACTTTTTATTAACTTTTTCCCAACTGATTTTGAATGAATCTGGCATGCATCCAGAAAATATTCTTTAAAAATGATCAAGTAGTAAATAAATTTTGAATGTTTGGTATAATTTTCACTTACATGCTTTGCAGATCTGTTTAATGCAACATTCTGGGATAATGGAAAATCTCCCCTGTGTTAAGTATACTAGCCACTAGCTACATAGAGCTATTGAGCATTTAAAACATTACTGAGAAACTGAATTTTTCACTTTGTTTAATTTTAGTTAATTTACATTTAATGCCACACTATTTTCACACTTTTATAATTATGTTAATTATAATTAAATGTTCATTTTCTTTTACCACTCTTCTTCCCGAAGACTCAGAGGTCCCTAAGGACCCTTAATGCCTTATTAAAAGTGTATAATTATTTTGACATACAATACGTTCTCTTTCTTCCTCTCTCTCTCTTTCTCTCTCTCTCTCTCTCTCTCTCTCTCTCTCTCTCTCTCTCTCTCTCTCTCTCTCTTTCTGATATACTTGTGAATGTTTACAGGCATCTACTTAAGCACTGATGCTAACAGTCCACTCATTTTGTTCTTCTTCTTTTTCAAAAATACATATTAACTGAATACCTAGAAAATACAAATTACTATAACAGGTTCTGTGAGGAATTCATGACACATTTTATGACTTTGAGTTTATGGTTTAGTATTCTGCTATTGGACTGTACTGGGTTGAGAGCCACAGAGTTTGTGCACTTGAGAACTGCTTATGTGATATCACAGCTTGTATCAATAACTTAAAATTGATCATTAGAGGAATTCATATCAAAACCACAATGAGAAAGCACCTAACAACAGTCAGAATGGCCGTTATTAAAAAGTCAAAAGATAACATGCTTGCAAGGCTGTAGAGGAAAAGGAATGCTTATATACTATTGATGGGAGTGTACATTAGTTCAACGATTGCAGAAAGGAGTATGGCAACTGCTCAAAGAGGTGGAAGCAGAATGACCATTTCACGCAGCAATCCCATTACTGGGTGCACATACCCAGAGTAATAGAAATCATTCTACCGTAGGTCAGGGGCAGTGGCTTATGCCTGTAATCCCAGCACTTTGGGAAGTTGAGGTGCGTGGATTGCTTGAGTCCAGGAGCTCATGACCAGACTAGGCAACATGGTGAAACCCTCTACTCTGTTAAAAATTAAAAATAATTAGCCAGGTATGGTAGTACATACCTGTAGTTCCAGTTACTCAGAAGGCTGAAGTGGGGGAATCACCTGAGGTCGGGAGGTTGAGGCTGCAGTGAGCCGTGATCACACCGCTGCATTTCTGGACAACTAGAGTGAAACCCTGTCAAAAAAAAAAATAAGACATCATTCTGTCATAAAGACACATACACTTGAATGGTCACTGTAGCACTATTTATAATAACGAGGGCATGGAATCAACCTAGATGCCTGTCAGTGACAGACTAGATAAAGGAAAAGTAGATATATGTACTATGTACTATGGAACATGCAGCCATAAAAAAAGAACACGATCATATCTTTTGTGGAAACATGAATGGAGGTGGAGGCCATTATCTTTAGCAAACTAACACAGGAAGAGAAAACCAAATGCCACATATTCTCACTTACAAATGTGAACTAAATAATGAGAACTTACAAACACAAAGAAGGAAACGACAGACACTGGTGTCTACTTCAGAGGGGAGGGTAGAGGAGGGAGAGGAGCAGAAAATATAACTGTTGGGTACTAGGCTTAGTACCTGGGTGACTAAATAATCTGTACAACAAGCCCCCGAGACACATGTTTACCTATGTAATAAACCTTCACATGAATTCCTGAAAGGAAAATATAAGTAAAAAGAAAAAAAAGTATTAAGCAATTGTGGGTTGTATCAATAACTTTTGTTCAGTGATTTCACTCTCAAAAATTGAAAAGACAATGGAACATTCCTTGGTATTTAATAACTTAAGAATGCAAATTCTGTAAAGTAAATTAAATATAAGTTCTGAGCTCTTATTCCATTGAATATGAATCCCATTGGCATTTATACTTAATACACTATTAAAAAAAACCTCACACTGGTGATGTACTGAGTGACAGTTTGACAGCTTGAAATTCTGATGGGACATGCACATCTCTTGTACAACTAGGTTTAAAGCTCTATATTGCATATTTACAAGCTTGGGACATAGTGAAACTTACATCAGGGATCTAAAATTTAATTGCAGTAGAGAAACATGAATTCTCTCTTTCCATGGAATTTAATTAAACACTTCCATTATTTTTGTTTCTAACTTACCTGTCAAGATGTAAATTAAAGTAAGCATAATAATAAAATCTAAAATGAAATAATCAGAATTTTAAATTATGTGGTGACAATTAAGTAGACATTGATAAAAATGTGTACCAAACAGAATGCTTGATGTTTTGAAATGAACAATTTTTTTTAAAAAAAGCATTTAAAAACAGCATTTAAAACTTTTTTTTCAGTCAACATTCATCACTAGAATTGGGTCCCAACAGTGAAATTCATGGCTCACCTATATATACACTAGTATCTGTTCATGTATCAGTATTAAGGCACAATGATGAATGGGAAATTTTTTTTTAAAGAGAATTGAAATTTTAATGAACGTGAAAAAATGTCACTGAATCTAAAGAGAAATATTCTCCTTTTGAGGGACCTCATTTTTGAATATTGGGTTTTTCTTTAAAACATACAGCCTTAGAACCTGCTATATAATCATTAGAAGAAGCAAAAAATTTTGACTATGGCATATCTGCACTTGTTTTAATGGACATTTTGTGGGCATATTTTACAGAATGAATCATCAAGATGACATTTAGGGAATTAGTTTTTGCCTCACACTGCTCCAGGTACTTAGAAAGTGCTCAGTAAAATATTGGTTGAATCAATAACAGCACCAAATTTCATGTTAGGGTAACTGCTATCAGCACCTGGAATAGTTCTGTCTTTTCTCTTCACTATGTAGTTAAGCTGCCACACCTTTAGATTGTATCATTATTGATGGGGAATAGGAAGGAAAATGGTTAAGCCTCCCTACCCTCAAAGAATGTTGTCTTACTTGACTCAATTATTGATGAACAGTGTCCTGTGAGCTTCCAAGTTATTTGAGAACACTACCACAGAGACTAAATTGGTAAAAAGTATTAATTTCAGTTTTTAAAATTAACCTAAGAAAATAATTTTTAAGGAAACCTTTTCTTGGTTTGGTGTTTGAAACATCAAGGGTGTATATTTGTAACTTGGAATCTAAACATGTACTTACCAGATTTATAAGAAGCCAGAGAATAGGAATCTGAAAACTTTCATAGAAACAGTAGTGCTGCCCATGACTGGGTTACAGTCTCAGCTCACTGCAACCTTCACCTTCCACGTTCAAGTGATTCTACTGCCTCAGCCTCCCAAGTAGCTGGCATTTCAGGTGCATGCAACCACTCCCGGCTAATTTTTTTGTATTGTTAATAGAGACAGGGTTGCATGCCTATAATCCCAGCACTTTGGGAGGCCAAGGCAGGTAGATAACCTGAGGTCAGGAATATTTCAAATCATAGGAAAAACTACTAGAGACATGTTAATGGAATATTCATATCATTGAAAACATGTTTCAACAGGTGCAGTTTTGGTATCATTTGTCTCAACATTCACATCTCTCGGTTTTTACAAGAACGTCTCTAGATGGAAACTTGCAAATGCAAGGCAAAACAATCAGATCTTCTGAATCTCAGTGGAGCCATGCAAAAATTGATCTCATTGCAAAAGCAGAAGACTCGACTCTACCTTTTCAGGTAAGCACATAAGAAATTAATGCAACTCAGCAGAAGACACTTATTTAATGCTAATTCTTTCAGATAACAAAATAACACACATAGCTCATGAATGTATTCAACATTAATGAAGCAAACACATTCAGAGATCAAATACATGATCAGGGATGAGTAGAGAAGTTGTTTTGACTATGTGCTCAAGATGTATCTGTGGAATAGTAGCAAAGGTGGAGATAAGAATTGAATAAGATGGCAGAGAGAAGAGTAACTTAAAAGCATTTTTTTTTCTGAGTGAAGACGGATTATACGATGTAGTGAAAAATATGACTTGGGCTGTAATCGTATTTTAATCCTATTGCCTCATTTTCTGCTGCCTGGTAATAGAGAGAATGTTACCAACCTTTGGGAACTGAGGATGTTATATTATGTGTTATAAGCCAGGCACAGAAAGACAAATATGACAGGTTCTTACTCATGTGTGGGAGCTAAAAAGTTGATCACATGGAGGTAGAGAGGAGAATGGTGGTAACTAGAGGCTGAGAAGGGTGGTGGGAGGAGGAGGTTGTGAAGGGAGGTTTATTATTGGTTAAAAATGTAGTTAGATAGAAGGAATACATTCTAGTGTTTGATAGCACAGTAGTGCAACTGTAACAAGTTATTGTGTATTTCAAAATATTTAGGATATAAGATTTGGAATGTTCCCACAAAGAAATGAGAAATGCGTGAGGTGATAGATATCCTAATGACTTTTATTTGATTATGACACATTGTATGCATGTATCAAAATGTCACATTTACTCCATAAATATGTACACCTACTATGTATTAATAAAATATAACAATAAAGGCAATTGTATCTTGTCAAACGGGTGTTCTAATTTCTACCCTCCTGTACATAAGTGGCCTGGCTGACATTTGAAAAGAGCTATTTTGGAAGCTAGATTGGATGGAGTGGAATGTGTTGGAAAACACACTGTTTTGGAGTCAGATGGTCTGAGTTCTAATCTCTGCTCTGCTCATTGGTTGCTAAGTGGCTGCATAAATATTGTCTTTGAGCATCAAATTTCCTAATCTGTAAAAACCACAGTGACAGTAAAAGCAATACTCCAGGGGAGTCTGAATATTAAAGATAATGTAGGTAAAATGGCAGCTGTGAACATGGGCTCTGGCGGCTTGGGTTCGAGTTTCATAAGTGGGGTGTGAGGATAATAGTTGGGGCTGTAAGGGTCCGTGATATCTACCACACCTCATCTCTTCCTCATTTCTGAACAAATTGATAAATACAGAAGTTAAACAGGTAGAGAATACGTATTTCGGAGCAGATGGCTTTAGAATGTAGAGCCAGTTATTTAAAATAATGCTTGATCTCAGAATAAATAGAATTACGCAGAGAACAACTGACTGTGCTGGAGAAATATAGAGCCTGTACTTTGGGGAAGTCTCTTACCATTAGCCAGAGATAATATCAAAATGCATGCCTCCTGAGGACAGGCTGGCTCCCAATAGTGGGTGTTGAATGGGAGAAGAGGATGAGTCGAGCTCACCCAGGTTACTCTTCTAACATCACTGTCAGCTAAATCTTCCTCCTCTCACAGAAAGAGTGTGGGGTAAGTAACAGCAGTGTTACTACAGGGAACTGCCTTTCCATGGAAGCAGGAGGAATAAGCCTCGACTGTAATCAATTACTGTTCTCTACTTTGTAGAATTATTGTGAGGATTATATGGTATATATTTGTAAAGCACATGGAAGAGAATCTGACATAAACAACTAAAAATAGCTAAATAAATTTAGCTATTTTTATTGCTGTAGTTATTCTTTGGATATTGTCTGGAAATAGTAGACACTCAATTAGTGTTAGTGTTCTCTGTTTTAAAAGGGAATTTCTGCTTGATCAGAACTCTAGGCTCAATCATTAAAGGCTTCTTCACTCAGTGAAGGTCTCAAAATTCCCTTCTCAAAGATCAATTTATCATTCTATTCTCATATTTAATGGACAAAGACATCATGAATACTAGTGGCTGTTAACTGGGAAGCATTTGACACAAAGGCCAGTCATGGAATCATTCTGGTGTCATTCTCCACCTCAAGGAGCAGGGCAAGGAAATCAGAACAATTTGATCTTTTGCCTCCTGCATTTATATTCTATATAAAAATTATTGTCATTGGGTTTCCTTTTAGTTAGAATGAAACTTACCCAGAAGATGATTCATAGTTTGTCATTAACTGACATATTGAAAAGAAAACAGAGTGTCCTTTCTAGCAGTAGTTAATTTAGAAATATGCGTTAAAACATATGCCATTTCTGCCTATGACTGGAAGCTCTCTTTGACCCATCCCAATTACTGAAAAGTTTCAGTGAATGCAGTTTTTGTTTTCTCTTTAATTTTCTCCTTTTTGGATATAGTAATGGTTTTACTTTGCAGAGCAAATGGAGACTATCCCTTATTATCTGGGGGCATATTCACTAGTTTGTAGATGGCCAGTGGTTTGGTTAGATTTTGTGATTTGGCTGCAATGGATATGTGAGAGTTTCTAACCCAGCCCAGCTGTTCCCTCTCCCTTCATCCCCCTCCTGGTGGCTCAGCACCTTGTGTTGCTTTTTCTTTCCAATCAGCCTCAATGCTGAGTTCTTGCAAGGCCTCATATGCTTAATTTACCCCAGAGAAGCTAAGACTTTTACTCTGGCTTCCCCACTAGGCTATAGCACACATTTATTTTGGAAACTACAGATGAGTAAAAGAAAAATTAGAAAAAAAAATCCCTGAGATTTCACTCTCAAGAAGGCTAGGACAGACCTATAATATCTAATCAGCAATTTAGAAAATTAAATTTGGAAAGCAATAAGCTTTTGAAAAATGAATTTAGAGGCAAAACCCAAGCTGCCCTGAACCACTGTGAGGCCTTTAAGGCAGTTCATTTCATGATAGGTTTGATTAAACAGTGCTGCCCCCAATCTCTCAGAGGGTATCATGTAATAAACACTCTCAGTGTTATGTTACCATTCTCAGCTCTAAACTATTCGAATTTCAAAATGCTTCTGGCCCCAAAGACTTTAGATAAGGAACTGTGGACTTGTATTGATGTTCTGTTGTGAATCAGTCCAGATAATACATACATACACACATAATACATAAAAATAGATACACTTGCACAGATAAATACATGGTAATATTTAAAACATCAGTATTGTGTATATTTACTATTAAATTTTTCAAACTAGTAGTTAATACAGAGAGAAACAAATACCCAAATATACCTCAGGATTAACTATTGTTAATATTTTGTTTGCTTATAATGTTAGTTTGTTTACTCACAAAGATTCAACTTTTGTCCTTCTTGTATCTCTCCATCCCATTTCTTATCCTTTGCAGAAAAAACAAACAGGTACTAATGTTATGTTGGCTTTAACCTCATTTCTCTAAGTGTATTTTAAAGATATGAAGGTATACATGAGGATTCTAGCTAGGTACAGTTCTACTTTGTTCTTTTATTGGCAACAAATGAAAAAGATATTATACCTACAAAGAGTTAATCTAGCTTTTAAAATATTCAAATATTTAAAGTTTGTCTTCTTGAAAATAGGCTAGGATTTAAGTTTAGTAGCCTGGATCATTTAAGGGTGACTTTAGTCATTGGCTATCCATTGGTTACATGCGAATAAGTTCTGAACATATTTATACAGTACAGTGTAATCCAATCCAAATATTGGAAAGAAGAAAGACATCAAATCATGTGACCTCTGTGTTCCCTTTTAGCCATGAAATTCTGATACAGTGTGGTTCTTTTGATGTCAGTTGTAGGCATTATAACAGAACACCAATTGCTCTGGGTTTCACAGGAAATAAGAACCCCTAGTTAGGAAGGGCATTTGTTCTTCCTGCCAGCAAAGAATTAGGTTTACTGTTTATTCTGTAAGAACAGCAAATAAATGACATTTCAATATTCCCTCCATTTCTTGTGAATAGTTTTTTTGAAAAATTTAGGTCAAAGAGCTAATAGTATTTTTCAAATCTGTCTTAACTTGGCCTGCTCATTTGCTATGTTCAGCTTTTCACACGAATATATATATTTTAATATTTCTTTTCCCCCATAACTGCTGTGCTCAGTTTTAGTATCTCAGGGTGGCACTTTTTCTGAGTACTGCCCATTGATTTCAAGTTGCTCTACTTTCTTCAATCCTCCCATTAAAGGATAATTGTATCATATTTTAGATTTCATTTTGAAATGACCCTTTTGTGAAATTTCCCGCAATGATGGATACCACGTTCTCTCTTTATCGGAGTCAATGATATAAATCAATAACAATTTCCTGATATTATTTGACGATTCAGTGAAGAGTAAGATTCATAATGTGAAAGTAAAAGGTGATTGAGTCTCTGTAAAGTTGCTATGTCCTTGGCCTGCCTAATCTAAGGCTGCATGAAATCTCGTTTCTCCAGGCAGCCCTGTTCCGAAGGATCCACTAAGGCCCAGTTATCTCTATTTCATTAGAGATGTAGGATGCTATAATCATTAATGGCTCCGCTTACATATTTTTCTTACTTGATATGTGAGGCTTAACCAGTTACTTCTTTTCTTTAAACTTCTGTTTCTTTCACTTTAAAATATGAAAATAGCATCATCCTCACAGGATTAAAACCAGCGAATGTGTCTTGCATATAGTAAGTGCTAAATACAAGTTGGCTGTTGCTCTTATGCTGATACCATCATTCTTCCAAAATTAGTATATTCCCACTTCTCTCTGCTCCTTTTTACTATATTCCTATTTTCTCTTGGATTCATACATATTTTGTCCTCCCGTTATTTTTTTGAAAACAAAATTTCTATGTTGGTTGCATATATTTTAGGAAAAGCATCTCAGTTTTTCACTTGTAAAAAGTAATCACTTGATTGTGAGCATTTATGAATTTTTGTGGTTACTAAAAGCAAATTGTTTTGTTCTTAGAGTGAGTACTATAATTGAATAAAACAAAAATCAACAAGATCCCAAAAAATAGTTTTAGAAGAGAGAGTACTCTAGTTTAATTTAAAATTTAAATTCTCCAATTACCTTAAGAATCTTATAAAATGAGGGTTTCACTCTTCCTCCGTCAGTGGTTGAAACAGCTCTTCAGAGTGATCTCCTTCTCACTTACCGATTACCAGTTGATGCTGACCATACTTCCCAAAGGGAATTGCTTTTAGTCACAACTAAAATATTTACATATATTATTTTGGTTAAAACAAGCAGTAAAAAATAGGAACAGCCAAGATGATTTTGAAACCATGAGGTGGTCATTCTTTACAGGTATAACAGACTTTTTTTGGAGCAAGTAACCACTTCCATTTTAAAATTGGTATGATTTTGATTGATGGTAGAATGACAATTTCTGATTGTATAATTATGAATTTAATTATATAGAAGTAAGCAATCAAAAATATAGATGATCTAGTATTATTTTATTTGGCTTTTGAAGTTGTATTTATCCTTACATTTTAATATAAATATCTAAAGGAAACTGGTGATTCCTTTCAGGTAAAATAATGTAACCACATTTTAAAGACTACCTCATGATTCTACTTCACCTCATCCCAGGGCCCATTCGTTCCATTCAAATAAATATGAGTGTGCACCTCTTTAGGGCATACAGAAGTGCTTCAAAGAGTCTGGTTTTTCTCCAGTCTTCTTTGAGTAGCACAGACCTTCAAATATGATAGTCAATAAATGCTTGTCTAATGAGTCTGAAGAATTAAACATCTATTTTAATTGACATCAATGCAAGATGTATTAAAGAATTTAGAAAAACTCTTTCAAATGTAAAGCTGTCTAAAAATATTACAGTCACTTAATGAAACCGAATACAATGTATTTGTAAAGTACGACATTTGTATGTATTTTAACAAGATCCTTCTTCAAAACCTATGTTATTTTCTGACTCTGGTACAAAGGCTAAATTTCTCAGTTGGTTATGATTCTATAGAAGCTGTCTCTAATCAGAATCTTAAAAATTATTATGTACATTGCATTAAAACATCAAAAATTGCAAATAAAGCAACAGTCCCTGCTGACCACCATCATCACCCGTTATAGATTTTATCTTGAGTGTTTATAGATAACAGTTTATTTTTACGTCCAGTCCATTTTCTATTTACTTAATATATATAAATGTACCACATATACTCGAAAATCTAAACCACTGTATATTTTCAGCCTAAGTAATATACTATAATTTTTTTTCTGTAACTTAGCTGTTTTACTCCAAAACACATGTTGAATTTCTTTCCATAATGACACATGGAAATAGATATGATTTTTAACTAGTATAGTATTTCTCACTGTTTACTGATACACATGTAAGTTCTTTCTTGTCATTTGTCATCAAAACCAGCACAGAAACAAACATTCCCCACAGGCCTTCATGTGTGTATACCTGTGAGTGTCTCTCTAAGGTAAATACCAAAAAATAAACTCAATATTTTATAGTCTATGGAATTTTTCGTTTTCATAGATGCCATCTCTTTGCTCTCCAATTGAACTATACCAACTCATGGAATTTCCTTCCCATCTATTACCTGATTAATGTGGTGTTCTCTTTAAGTCTTATACTCCTGTAACACCCATCAAGATTTTCCAAACACGGCATGCACTTTCTTCTCTCTGTGTTTTTGCTGAGATTGCTGCCTTAGTTTCTCCAGGTAAAATATTTTGCCCAACAAAATTTGGTATCATGGAGACTTACTATTATTTCTCTACCAAATCTTTTCTCAAACTCTCATTATTGGCAGCAAGAATGACGTGTCATCTTTGAGTGTCCTATTATCTTATACTTATTTTTTATACAGCATTTATGATGTGGTATAGTTAATGTATGATACCAAGTGTAGGAGAGAAAAAATAATACCCTTTCCTCACTCATCACAAGGGGCATGGCTGGAACCCCTACAACGAAAGATAGGAAAAATAACAAATTTATTAACATTTTATGTGACATAGGGGCTACAAAAACGAAGGCCCAAAGAAAGACCAGGGAAAGCTCTCTGTGTTTATGCTTAGGTTCAACGATAAATGGACAGCTATGAAGAAATATAGTTAGACAAAAAGAGTATGATCTCATGGCAATAAATTGGAGAGAACTCAGCAAAGATCTTTGCTGGCCTCTATATATAGCATTTCTTTCCTCCAGATATAGATAGGGTGGGACACCAGTTACATGAGGGTCTTGTGACCTGTTTTGAAGAGAAATAAGTCAAATAATTTTTATAGCCAGCTCACACAAAGAAAAGTGCAGGGGGAGTCAGAGAGTGACTCCAAGGTGGTATATTTTGGGATAGCATGTTCTGAGCCCTAGTACAAGTAATTTTAAAGATCCTTGAGATTGGAGACCCTCCCTGATAAGATAGAAATGTACCTACTGTCTGTGTCCTGGACTGGTGGTCCACTATGTGGGTTCATAGATTCTAGGCATAAATTACCTCTTCCCGTCCCCTTCCTTCCTTCCTTCCCTCCTTCCCTCCTTCCTTCCTTCCTTCCTTCCTTCCTTCCTTCCTTCCTTCCTTCCTTCCTTCCTTCCTTCCTTCTTTCCTCCCTCTTCCCTTCTTTGTTCTGCTCCTTCACTTTCTTCCTTCTTTCTCTTTCTTCCTTCTCCCTTTCTTTCTTTCTTTCTTTCTTTCTTTCTTTCTTTCTTTCTTTCTTTCTTTCTTTCTTCTTTTTTCTTTCTTTCTTTCTCCCCTTCCCCCTCCCCTCCTCCTTCCTCTCCCCTCCCCCTCTCCCTCCCTTTCTTTTTCTTTATTTCTTATTCTCTCGTTTTTTCTTCCTGGAATAGTAACATAATAATATGAGTGATTATCAAGAAAGAAAACAAATTATATCAGTCATTTATTCAGAGTGTTAGAATAAATTAAACTTAGATAGATGTCTCTGAGTGCTTTAGTATATGAATATTATTAACTACTATACGTGGTTATTGATATGTGCTTTACTACAATGAGTATGTTTCTGTGTATGTATTTAATATATATTATGTTTCTATGTATATATATATATAATACTTAAATATTTTAGTATGGAAAGAAATCATTGTCTCGTTACGAAGAATTCATATCTCAAATTGAGTTGTAAGCCACATAGTTGATTGCCCCAAAGAGCTCATTATAAATACATATGACCCTTAATGGCTCCAGTGGGAAGAAAGACCTTCACTAGTGATGAATGTTACAACTTTTAATTGAAACAAGGTTACCTTTGGCATTAAGGTTACATAAGATGCTGCCAAAGCAGTTATGACTTTATAAATTTAAATTAGGATGTTCTGGTCAGAACAGTTTTCTAAAATTAGATTGGAAAATGGGACAGATGTAAATAGGGTTCCTCTACACAAGGAAATATGATGGTAAGACATTACTTTTGTGATGTGTTTTTAACAGATTTATCTTTCTGTAATTATAGTTAATTTTGGAAGCTACTGTTTTGTCATCAAATGCTACCGTTGCTCTAGATGACATCAGTGTATCCCAGGAATGTGAAATTGTCTATAAGTCACTTCCAGGCACCAGTACCCAAAGCAAAGGTAAGTTTTTTTTTTGGTCATTGTTGCTTTTTTTTTAAACATTGAATTGAGCTCTTCTCGATATCAAAATATAAAATTATTAGAGTCACAAATACCTAATACAGGATGTGGATTTGATCACTTGTTCTTGAAACTGAAAATATATATACTTTTTTAAAACGTAAACATCTGATCTATCATAGTTTAGTCCTTAAGCCTCTTTTCCAGTAAATGGAAAATATTCTATGTTTGCAGCTGAAATTCTTACATCCAAATATTTTAATTACAAAAATTATGAAAAATTATAATTAATTTACATGTTTTAAATATACTTCTATAAACATTCACTTCTCCATTCATTTTATTCAGGACTTTAAATGAGCATGTAATAATATTCATATTTCAGAATAACCCAGGAATTAAAAAAGAATCGAGGTTGCGTTTGTAAGAATTATGTAAGGGCAACCAGAAATTTAAAACTGGACCTTAAAATTCTGTGTTTCTATTCAAAATTTAATATTTTCAATTCAGAATGGATGGAGTTAGTCTAATTCTTTGACTAAATGTTTTGGAGAGAATATCAATTAAAGGCCAGAAATGTTGCCATAAAAATGGATCTCCTACAAACTATGTATTGTAAAACCTAATCATTATTTAGATTCTGGGATCGATGTACAGACTAAAGAGTTTACACTATGTCTTCAGTTACTTTCTCTTTCTAGCACTAATTGGTGTTTTTCTCTGACCACTCCTACTCTTAGATATCAATGAGTAAGTAGACAATATTAAAAATGTTTCCTGAAAAGTGTCGCACTTTATTTTTCTTCATCTGTATCTATGGAAAATATTTACCATGTAAGAATGCATGGAACAGTTACATTCTTACAGGAGCTGAATGGAATAATCAAGAAGAATTTGGGGCACATATTCTGAAATGGGAAGATTATAGAACTTTTAATTAAAGGTCCTTTATTAAAGACATCTTTCATTCTAGAGATTGTCTATTTCTGGGTGCTAACTAATATTGGGTTAACATGTATTTACTTTATTCAGAATGTGTGTCCTGCATGCATAATAGACCGCTCTGAGCTCTGTGCATGTGTTCATGCAAGTGTGTGTGTGTGCACTTTTTTCGCTATAAAAATGCTTTATTAGGCAAAACTGCATACTATAAAAATGCTTACAATGCAACGGGAGGAGATGTAAGGACACAAACAGTGCGTAGTGGCACATGACTATCAGAACACACTAAAGATCCATACTGCTTTCCCCCTTTACCTAGCAAAGGAAGCTTCTAGTCCTGCCTTCTCCTCAGCACACCCCTCAAACTCCTCCTCCTCCTCAGCTGTGGTATCCTGGTGCGGCTGGTACTCAAACACCAGGTCGTTCATGTTGCTCTCGGCCTCAGCGAATTGTGTCATCCATTACTGTACATTGTTGCTTGAGAGTCTGTACATTTAGACCAGATTTGTATTTGCACTGCCAGTATGGCAAATGAGTGAAAAATGTTTAATACATTATTGGATTTTTTATTTCTTTTTTTGATTCAGCTTATACCAGGGCTGAAAACCTCAACTTATGTTCATGACAGTGGGGCTTTTTAAAAATGTCTACATTCGTTCTAATAAACTATTGGAAGACTTCTTGGTTGTCCTTTTAGGTGTCTGGCTTACTGCAAATTTTATGTATTTGTCATTTACTGGAATGCAGTTTTTATTTTTATTTGAGAAAGAATTTGGCATTATTCCTCTGTTTGAAAAAAGAGGCTTACAGTAATGTCATAAGAAACCTTTTAAATGGATCTGTAATAGAATATTGCAGATGCACTTTGCATCAGTTGGAAAGGAAACTGTTGTGATTTGACTGAAATAAAACTAAATGTGTTGTCCTCTAAAAAAACATGCACATATATGTGCATGTGTGTGCATGTATGTGTGTGCATGTGTGCGTGTCTGTATGGTTCTGATAGACACTGAGCAGTGCAGAGCAGCGGATTTAAGGACAATTTAAAGATTTACAAGTTTTTAGGGGTTAAACAGCATTATCTTATTTTTGTTATTTAGTTAAACATTTTCTTTCTCCTAATTAAATACCACATCACCAGAATCGCAATCGCTGAAAGGCATTAAAGCTGATATTGAAGAGCATTCTCATGGAATGTAGTACTTGGAGGTGGAGGGGCAGAAAGATGTGACAAAGACCTTTCCTAGACACTCCTAGAATGAAAGTTTAATGAGAGAAAAGCATAACAAATTTGTTTATCAAAGTTTTACTTGACATAGGAGTCTTCAGAAACGAAGATGCCGAGACCTAGAGAAAACCATGTGCTTTATCTTATTTTTTCATTTTTGTTTGTTTTTCAGCCCCTTTTCCTAGTCTGAAAACTGTATATTTTTCTGCTTAGTTTTCATGAAGACAGTCACTCATTGTGAAATGTGATTGGACAAAGGGGCATGATCCAATGGTAACAGGCTGAGCGGGGAAACCCAGCAAGGCCTTTGTGTTCAGAGTCTCCTGACTCCTTTGTGTATAATTTCTAACCCCTTGGGAGCAGGGAAGGACCCCTTAGAAAGAGCATCTTATGACCTAATTTCGGGCAAGATAAGTCAGAGAATTTCTTATTTTTTATTTTTTAAAATTATTATACTTTAAGTTCTGGGGTACATGTGCAGAACATGCAGGCTTGTCACATAGATATACACGTGCCTTTGTAAAGCCTATGTAAATTATCTGGTGTTTGCCAGAGTATTTCTTTATGACCTGTGCTCACACAGAAAGGTCAGGGAAGATCAGAATGACCTTGTTCCTTGGGTACTTCCCAGTCTCCTTCAGTTCAAAGCCTTTCCTGAGCTCCTGCTGAGGCAAAAGTGTGGTTAATGGTTTTAAATCATTACTAAAGTTAACCTTAGGAAAAATTTTTGAGGCTACTTCATATGGCTTATGGAGAATTGTTTTCATAAATTCACTCAGGATTCATGGATATGTGCTTTCATCTGAACACCAGATCAGTTGGTTAGATTATATCTCTAATTAGGAAAACTTACCTGAACGATTCCTGAAAGATCAATGGTTATACACAAAGAATAAAAAAGAGTTTCTTACTGCTTTTGCAAATATGTCCAGTAGACGATTATAGGATCTCATTTGTGGAATTTAGTATTACTAATGGGCAGAAGTTTACAGAGAGAAGCTGAAAGGATAATTTTAAAATGTGTCATGCCCTATTGGCAGTAAATTGTTAAATGTATAGAGCAGAATAGCCAAAGATTTACCCAGACCCTGTACAGGACTTGAAGCTTTTGAAATGTTTAATTGGCATACAAATGGCTGCACCACTTCAAAGCAATCTTAGAGCTGTGGTTTTCTCCTCACATTTAAAGCACAGTCCACATGATGAAAATCACAAGTGCTACTTTGATTTGGCCTTTAATCAAGCTTCTTCTCCTTCAGAATATTTAAAACCTAGTGATGATGAAACAATTAAGCTTTCTATTTATTTGTTAAAGGGAGAGAGCATGTTTTATGCTCTTATTCTTGAAGACAAATTTGTGCCAGGTAAAGATACAGGTTGTATTTCATTCAGGAAGATCTGTGACTTTGTAGCTGAGTGCCCAAAGGGAGCAAATGAAGCTAATTGCTGTAAATGCATGTACTGACTCCTTCAGCACATATTTATATGTACATATTTACTCTCTGAATGTGAAGTGCATACCACTCAAGTGAGCGTTATTTGATGAAGACAATCAGAACAGAGACCTCTGCATGATGGAAATGACTTGCCAGTGAGAACAAACCAGATTCACTTTAAACTAGAGGCAATGAATGAAAACGTCTTGTTAACTTTCAATTTTGCTGTGTTGGAGTATAACATTTGTAATAAATGCAGGTAGAACTCAAAAGACAAGGACAAGGATGTATCTAGCCAGCCATAGAAAAGTAAGTACCATATGATACTTACATGCGGTATCTATGTAGTCAAATTTCTAGAATCAAAGAGTAAATTGTGGTAACCAGATTATCGGAGGAGAGGAAGTGGAAATTACTAATAAACAGGCATACCTTTTCAGTCAAACAAGATGAATAAACTCTAGACATCTGCTGTATAACCTATAGTCAACAACAATGTATTGTACACTTAAAAATGTGTTAAGGGGGTAGATCTGGCTGGGCATGGTGGCTTAGGTCTGAAATCCCAGCACTTTGGGAGGCTGAGGCAGGTGGATCACTTGAGGCCAGGAGTTCGAGACCAGCCTTCCCAACATCACAAAACCCTATATGTACTGAAAATACAAAAATTATCTGGCACGGTGGCCCACACCTATAATCCCATCTACTCAGGAGGTGCAGGTTGCTGTGAGCTGAGATCACACCACTGCTCACCAGCCTGGGTGACAGAGAGAGATCCTGTCTGCCCCTCCCCATAAAAAAGAGGGTAGATCTCATATTTTCTTTATCACAATAAATGCATTATAAGCATTTCTTTATTATTTTTAACATCATAATATTGTCTTAAACAGTTGCTCTTTCAGTACAACTAGCAGTAGAGGACTTCATAATGCTAAAGAATGTTCTTTCAATTGATAGTGTACAAATAAACAGTTCTATGGTCATAACACTATAGAGCCTGGATAGTTGTATATATTTTTACACCTTTGAGAGTCTCCTTTCAATTTGTCATTTTATAGGGCAATGCCTCCATTCTTTCTGCATTCTACTTAAATGATACTAAAGCTATCCAAGCATCCCTGAAAAAGTAATAAAGAAGAAAAAAATAAAAGAAGGATGGCTGTTGGTTGATAAGCTTTTCCAATAGTATTTAAATAACTGTGTTATTGAACACAAAAAGAGGCTGGAGGAAAGGTAGGAGAAGCATCCCGTCTTGTTGATAACAGATACCTGAGGTGAAAACCAACATGGTTTTGGGTCAAGATAATGTAGGAACACAGACATTTTCCATAGGTGTGGTGAGGTATAGAGTTGGAGAAATTCTTTCCTCTGCATTCAAAACATACATGAGAATG